ATATATATATATATATATAGTATCCATTTTTCAGTTTAAAATAAAACACAAAATATGAGACATTACATGTATACTACATGTGCAAAATATTTTAACTCAACAAGAGTATCACAATAATTGTCTTCATTCAAACTTAAATAATAAGTCTTGAGCACTTAAAACTCTATACGAACACTGGACACATTGGTAGTTGTGCTAAGATTAATTTCTTTTTAATATATAAAAAAAAATGACGATACAAATTTAAATTTATGAAGAAAATACCCCCCAAATAAGAAATATTTAAATATGTGTAATTCAATTCAAATTAAATTCAGACATACTTTATTAAACCCAAGGGGAAACTACATGTTTTTGGAACTCATTATCCTGGTTTCATTGAAACATAATACAGTAATTATTTTTCATAATGTAATTATTTAAGATTATTAAATTTTGGTTACTTTTTTGTCGTTAATAAACTTTTAAAGTTACTATTTTATTTGAGTAGGATGTCGTATTACACGTCTAACTTAAAAAAATTAAAATAAATTGAAAGCCCCGCCCCTTCCCTTGGCAAGTTTAGTGTTGCCATGGTAACAGCGCAGTCAACTTCAGTTCCATGCGCTTATCTAATGGTCTAATGAGCGAGTTAACAACTTTAAACTAACGCACCGAAGAAAGGAGATAACTAGTGAATGAACGAGCTGGTAAGGTGGTGTTGAGGCTTTTTGTTAGTCGTTTTTACAATGTTCACATCACTATCCGGGGAAATATTTTAGCGTCAATCTAAGTGTCTGAGTTAGCTTAATATTTGGACTTAGAGGAAATGTGCACGTAGCTAAACGTAACTAAAACGTTCGGTTCCCTCGCGCTTGTTTTCAGCATTCACACTATTGTGACGTTTGTGACTGCGTGTGTTTTTAACTTATGTTTAACTCTTTACACGTTCAGCCTTTTACAGCTTCTGTTGAGCTTTTCAGTCAGTTTCAGCTGTTCTTGAACAGTGAGCATCATCAGTCCTGCTCAAGAATGGGTTACAGCTGTTTTTGTTGCTTTGTTGTTTTTCAAATTCATTCAGCTACTTTGAACTTGCTATGCTTCCTTCAGTTTCTTTCTGCTTTTTTCTTGCCTTTCAGCTACTTTTCAGCTGTTCTCCTAGTTTGAGCTCCCCCCAGTTAACCTTTAATTTAATCATTTTGACTTAAGTTCAGCAAGCATGTGCTTTAAGCTTCTGTCTGCTCATTTGAACATTTTGTTCTGGTTCTCAGCTTCTTCTGTGCTCATTTTTGCTTTTTTTTGTGGCTGCTTTTAGCTTCTTTCTACTAATTTGAGATTTTAAAAAAATTTTTCCATCTACTTTTCCAGATTTTTGTGATCGATTGTGGTTTTTATTTATTTAGATAATTTAGGGTGCGGTAGTAGCCAAGTGTGATCCTCAACACAGGGGCCTCTCAAAGCTATATAAAAATTAAAAATGGCCGCCAAAGATAACCCATGCTGTCCAGCAGTCCGGAGACAGTTTTTTGTCCAAGCTCAAACTCTGCAACTGTGTTATGTAGGAATGTCAAAGTTTACAGCTGGACATCTCGTGGGTCAGCAATGATGCTTGAAGATTTTAGGATAGGGTCAAAGGTCACCACTTTCTTTATATTGGCATGTTTTAATAACCAACAGAGAATTGTCAAAGTTCTCATCTGGCCACCTCGTTGGTCAACAATTTTTTCTACTGATTTCAAGGTCTCTGGGTCAAAGGTCAAAGTTAAACATCAAGGTCACCCCTTTAAAGAGCTCTAATATGATAAACAAAGAAATGTCATACTTCACAGCTGAACACCATGTGGGTCAACAAAGATCCCTATGTTTTTTAAGATCATGGGGTCAAAGGTCACTATTTTCTTTTGACAGCTCTAAATTGGGAACCCTTTGCCTTTATTCACACTACTTTAACATTCGCTAATTCCTGCTTTTCTGCACATTTTATCTTTTTAACCTAATTTTATCCTTTGCATTTTTGGTTTATTTATTTGTTTATTTATTTGCTTTTTGTGCTTCTTGCTGCTTTACCTTTCAAATTTGTAGTTATTGGTGTATTTTAACTACATTTTCAGCAGCTTCAGCTTAATTATTCAGCATTCACACTGCATTTTAGCAGGAAATGCAATTTCTATAGTTTCTTCTTGTTTTCTTAACAGTGGCTTGTCATTAGAAATGGCAACCTCTCCAGAAGATTTTCATCTCCTACCAGTGGAGAGCCTGTCAAAGGCTGTTCTGCCCCCAATTGGAGGAATGTGGCATTCTGATGATGTGGACAAGGCCATCAAAGCAAAGAAGGAGATGGAGGAGAAGTTAAAAGCTCACCAGAAGCTGCTGAAACATAGGAGGAGTAAAGTGAAACGAAACCAACTCCATATGATAATGTACGTTTTTGTTGTGCGTTGTGTTTAGTTCCTCAGTGAACTTCCTTTAAGAGTAAATCCATAGACCTCTGGGTTTACTGAAGTGTGTCAGTTTACTCTGTGTTACAGGGTCTCCAGAGCCATGAAGAGTTACAGACAGAGCCAAGAGAGTGGAGCTGTGCGCAGTCTTTCACCAGAACCACAATTTCCATCTACTGTATGAATTCTAACTTTCTATGCATATGTTTTAAATACAAACTGTAATATAGGCTACAATACTACTGTGCAAAAGTTTTATGTCCCTAATTACTTTGTATTTTTCTTCCGAGGAATAAAATTGCTTGTAATAATTGTTTTTACTTTGATTGATAATCCATCCATTTTCTTTACCTATTTCTCCTTTCTGGGTAGCTGGGGGCTGTTGTCTATCTCCAGCAGCCACAGAGAGGTGGGGTACATCCAGGATGGGTTGAGGGTCCATCACAGGGCCACATAGGCAAATGAGACAAACATCTATTCACACTTTCACTCACACCTAGGGACAATTTAAAGTTGACTATTTAGCTAGCATGCATGTTTTTGGTCTGTGGGGAGGAAAACGGAGTACCCAGAAAAAACAACACGCAGGGAGAACATGCAAACTCCACCCAGAGAGTCCCCCAGGCCAGGTGTTCCTACAATATTATCACTGAGAGGTGACAACTTTATCAAGTTGTCAAAGTTTTTCTTGCTTTAATCCTTTTAGTCCTTGTGCCCAAACATGACAAAATAATGTACAGTATGTGTTAAAAAAGTTAAGAAAGTGAACAAGTGGAGGACAAAAGACGTGTCAGGTCTAAAAACGATCTTCAGCACATGAACAGTATCTGAAATCCTTGTTTTAACAAACAGATCATGTCTCTCAGGTCCAGTGCCAGATTTATGTAGATTTTTTTTTTTTAAATTCAGTTAAATGTTTACTTTATGTCAAGTTTCCAGTCAGTAGCTTTTTAAGATTCATCTAATCAAACTTTTATCTCTGTATTTATTTATTTATTTATTTATTTATTTATTTATTTATTATTTTACAAGTATTTCAGTTTAACTAATCAATGAGAACAAATTGTATATTTATGACAAGCTACCTCCTTGGAAGCAAATTATAAAGAAATGAGGGCTGGCTCAGGACTTGGGCGGCATGGTGGCTCAGTTAGTAGAGCTGTTATCTCACAGTGAGAAGGTTGTCGGTTCAAATCTGAGCTGGGGACCTTTTCTGGATGGAGTTTGCATGTTCTCTCTGTGTATGCGTGGGTTTTATCTCGGTACTTTTCTCCCACAGACCAAAAACATGCATGTTAGGCTGATTGGAAACTCTAAAATGTCTCTAGGTTGTGAGTGAGAGAGTGAACGGTTGTCTCGTTTGTCTCAATGTGTCCCTGTGATGGACTGGAGACCTGTCCAGGGTGTCCCCCACCTTTCCCACAGTGATAGCTGGACATGGGCTCCAGGGACCCCCACGACCCAAAAAGGAAGAAGTGGGTAAAAGATAATGGATGGATGGACTCGGGATTTTTGCTCATGTCCATACTGTAAAGTTTTGCTCTGTTCAATGAAGTTTATTTCAAACTTACTTCACAGATGATCAGCAAGGAGCGGAAAAGAATGGTATGTCTATTTTATATTGTTATATTTAGTTAAATTGTAAAAGTATTATTTTTGGGAGCATTTCATACTTAAAATACTTTATTTTTTTCACCATTTGCAGATGAACTACAGTTTCTTAAAGCGTTGTGTAGAGAGTCGACCCTATGCTCCGATCCAGCAACAGTGGTTGGACTCAATTGTAGCCCGAGTCTCCCCTAAACTGAAAGAGAACCCTGAGATGAATAAACTTCTACAGGAGCTCTGCGTGGAAGTCAGCGATGAGTTCCACAAAGTGATTGTCAAGCACACAGGTACCATTTATTTGCAAAGTGTGAATACTTGTTCAAAGTTTTAGCTTTTAAAGTAGGCGTTTGTTGCATTAGTTCTAATGAATAGACTCAATACCCGTAATTATGAGGTGAAAATTATAAAAATGATTAATTATCTTAGCAGCATCATTTCATTTTGTTTTCTGACTCTACATGTTCTGTTGTGACTGGGCTCTAAACTGAGCTGAATTGAGTCATTGGGATAGAACTAGACATATTTAGGACTATCAGTTATTTTTCATTGTACAATTGAAAAAAAAATCTTCAGGATCACGGTGGTTTTGCACAGAACTGCATATTGATCCTTGTATGTTCTTTGCAGTAAAGTATGATTCCATATTCATTGTTTTTAGTGGGCACAGTTTTAAAGGATCCTCAGCAACAAGAACAGAGCTCAAAAACACAGAGAGTTTCTCAGTCAAAGTGAGTTTTAGATTTTCTGCTATGAGCCAATGAAAGTTGATTCCTCTTTAATGCCCATTTGAAACTATATGTTGTTCTTCTGCAGAATTCTTGATTTCTCAAAACCATGGCATGATAGCTTTGTAAAACGCTGCAAGCTGGTAAAAGCAAATTTGCACATTCTACATCCTGTGATGCAAACTTTGTTGGATATCGGCTACTCAACATTTTCTGAACTGTTCCTAGTTGATCTGTCAGCATTTCGGTAAGACCAAGAGAAACAGACAAGCACACAAGCTGGCTCTTCTTGATTTGCTTCCTTTTTAAAACTAATCTGTGGTTTTGCTGTCAAAGAGCTTTAGGACCTCTGGAATATAAAAGCCTACAGAACAAAGTAGCCGTGATGTGTAAGAAGAAAGAAGACAGTATCATGAGTACCTGGTATCCTAAAATCATCCACTTGTTAACAAATGAAAAAATACAGAAGCGCGTTAAAGCTGAGAAAATGGATTCATTTTATAACTGTGCATCAACCCTTATTTCCAATCAGGTGAGATGAAATCCACCCTGTTTTTCCCTTTTAAATGTTTTTATATTTAAATAAATAAAACTATCAAAGTATAAACCATATGGTAGTAAGTTTCTCCTTTATTGTTCTAGTTAAAATCGGTGCTCCAGGCAAATGTAGAAAAGTTTGTCAGTGTATTTGATCCAAACAACCACCACTGCTTGCCTGTGTTTCGCATGGCTTTGACATTTGATGATGAAAAAATGGAAATCTACCCCACCCTCCAAGATTTGGAAGACTCTGTTTTGAATATCCTTAATGCCATAGCAAATACACTGCAGGTAAACTGCCTTATTTTCATAACTTTTTATTATTATGAGGATTTTTATCTACTGTATCAAATTTATTCACAGAAAGTACAAACTGTGCAGTCGTGGATGGAACAAACCTCATCTTCATTTGTGGATGCCACTGTGCCTGATGAGGTCCTTTCTTGGGCTCAGTCCACTGTGAAGAATGCTGTGCAAAAGAACCTAGAAGAACCCGACCAACATTTCAGGACTTACGGTGATTTATTAAGAACATTATTTGTTTCATTATTCATCAGCTTAGTTCATTGCTGAATTTTCTAGTTTATTTTGTAGTGAACAACTATGACTGGCTTGTGAATGGGACTGCACAGAGCAAAGTAGACACATTTATGAAGGCGGAGCTCTCCTTTGATGAGTACACTAAGGTAAAATCTGTGTGTATTTAGCATACACCCAATTATGACTTGAACTTGTTTAACCTTGTGTCCTGATGACTGTCGATATGTTTTTACTTATTAAAGCAAGTGGAAAAGTTTCATATGCTGTCAGATGAGATTAGCAGGCTCCCATCAAAACTCTTCTTCCCAATGGTCCTTCTGAACTGTGAGGAGCTGAAAAAAGGTCTCACCAACAAAGCTAAAATGTATGCCGAAACATTTCTGAAGAAACTCGTCATTGCGCATAGAGAGCAAAATTTACAGTAGGTCACTTCCTTTAGCAGTTTTAGTCAAAGTTCTCATTCTGTTGAAAAATTTGAAGTGGTCTTTTTGTGTTTGTGCCAAGGATCTGTTTTGAATTTCAAGAAATCCAAAAGAAAGTTCTGGAAGTTCCAAAAAGCACAGAAAACATTGCTCAGATAGAAGAATACATCAAGTTTACCAAAACCAAGGGGGTTGTGCAACTAAGTGAAAGGTTAAAGGTGAATAGTCGGATGAGTATATGTATTTGTTGGATTTTCTGACATCATTTTGAACCACACTATGCTCTGACAGGAAGCCTGCTCCAAACTCCTTTATCTTTTGAATGTCTACATCTTTGAGCCAGAAGATTTGGAGCTGAATTTGATTGTATTTCACTGGCCCCAAAACATCCTGCATGCTTTTGAGCTCAGTGATGAGGTAAAGCTTCTGTTTCTTTTTTGAAACACTATCTAATTTTTTTTATGTTAGTGATCTACTTCTTAACACCTTTATCATTTAATAGGTGCTACAAAACGCTAAGGAGAAAGAAAAGACAGAGCTTATTGCCAAAAGGGAAAAATTAATGGTAGACCTGGAAGTTTTGGGATGCAGAATAGAGGAGTTCTCACAATACTCTGAGCTGAGTAGAATGCAGCAGGTACAGTTATTAGTACTATTGGATGATCCTGAGACTAGATGTGTTCTCTTATCCTATGCTAAGCTAACTGGCTGCTTCTAACCACTTATTCATTTGGGTTCAATTATTCATGTTTTAAGTTCTTTACAAGAAAGCATTTTGCATAGGCTTCAGCAATGTTGATGGAGTTTGTGTTTTTCAAACAGAGAATCTCTGAAATTCACACCATGTTAATCCCACAGTAAATATAACTGGTGCGTTATTACTTTTTGAACAGTATGTTGCAAATGTAATAAAAGTTCAGAAACTTCTCCACGAGGCTGAGAAGGCTATTGTCCTTATCAATGAGGAAGAGGCTTTTTACGAATGGGACTTAACAAGTTACCCAGAGGTTGAAGTTCTCAAAGAGAGCATGGAACCATATCAGAAGCTGTTTGGATTTGTCCTGAAGTGGCAGCGCACAGAAAACAGGTCTGATTTCAAATGGTTACACTTTGTGTTTAGGTTTTAATGACACCTGATGAGAAACTTTCCCCTCTCTTTGAGTAGATGGATGGATGGCTCCTTTTTGGAGCTAGATGGGGAAAGCATGGAAGTCCAACTGGATGAGTTCTACAGGGAGATCTTCAAGATGCTGAAGTTTTTCCAGCAGAAGCAGATTAAAGCTGCACAAGAGATGGAGAAGATCTCTGGGAAGACAAGAGAAAGTTCTAGTGAACAAGATCCAACAAAGCAGGAGAGTCCATCAGCAGCTGTGCATTCCACTGCAACAGAGCAGATTAAGTCCGCACAAGAGATGAAAGATATCTCTACGAAGACAAGACAAAGTCCTAGGGAAGAAGATCTAAAGAAACAGGAGAGTCCAACAATAGTTGTGTGCTCTACTGTAATGAAACAGATCAAAATGTTCCGGGTAATTTATGCAACAAACATTTCAAATGTGTTCATGACAGAAATCTCATGGCAATTGAAGTTTTCCTTTCCTAAGTAATGTTCAGTTATGAATATGCTTGTGCTAACAGGACTACATCCCTGTGGTGTCCATCTTGTGCAACCCTGGTATTAGAACTCGTCACTGGAACCTTATGTCAAAGATAGTTGGGTTTGACCTCACTCCTGACTCTGGTACAACCCTACGGAAAGTTCTCAAACAAAACCTAGCACCTTACCTGAATGAATTTGAATCTATTAGTGCTGCTGCTAGTAAGGTGAGAATTTCTGATACATCCCGTTTTTTGTTTGTTTGTTTTCATGATAAAGTTTCTGTATTAAATACAGTTTGCCGTCACTACATTTCTTTCCAGGAGTTTTCTATGGAGAAGGCAATGCAGACCATGGTACAGATTTGGGATGATATTTCCTTCCACCATCAACCTTACAGAGAAACTGGTGTTTCCATCTTAACTGCCTTGGATGATATCCAGACAGTGTTAGATGACCAGATTGTAAAGACTCAGACAATTAGGGGTTCACCATTCATCAAACCCTTTGAAAATAAAATCAAGGTTAGCCAACTTGCATAAGACATACAAAATTTTAAACTTTTTTGCCAGTATAGAGTATTTTTCCAAGTCTTTTTTTTTAGCTCAGTTCAGCATGGAGATTGTTCTGTGTTTTTAGCAATGGGAGGAGCGCCTACGTCATATTCAGGAAACCATAGACGAGTGGCTTAAGGTGCAAGCCCAGTGGCTTTACCTGGAGCCCATCTTTTCATCGCAGGACATCATGCATCAGATTCCAAAAGAAGGGAGACTTTTTCAAATTGTTGACAAAAACTGGAAAGAGATCATGAGACACTGTGTTAAGGATTCTAAAGTAATAAAAAAATTAAACGTTTGAATTTTTTTCTATTCTAAAAGCAAATGTAGCTGTAATTGTCTATCTGTAACTATAGGTTCTGCCAGCAACCTCATTACCTGGTTTGCTTGGAAAACTGCAAGATTCCAACACCCATCTTGATAACATAATGAAAGGCTTGAACGCCTACCTGGAGAAGAAACGTCTCTTTTTCCCTCGGTATAAATAAAAAAATCTTTCTGATAACATTTTTAATTCAACTCTTTGCAAATATTACATATATTAATAGTTGCTGCTAACCTTGTGCCAGGTTTTTCTTCTTGTCCAATGATGAAATGCTCGAGATTCTCTCAGAGACTAAGGACCCTCTGCGAGTTCAGCCTCATCTGAAGAAGTGCTTCGAGGGTATTTCCAAACTGGACTTCTTACCCAATCTGGATATCCAGGCAAGGCAGTCAAAAACACACTTATTGATATGTGGCATTGTGCTGGATTCATTTTTACCAAGCTGCATACTGTTCTTGCTCAGGCCATGTACAGCAGTGAAGGGGAGCGTGTTGAGCTAATCCAGCACATCTCTACATCTGAAGCCAAAGGAGCTGTGGAGAAGTGGCTGGTGCAGGTGGAGGATGTGATGGTTCGCAGTGTCAGAGATGTTGTGGCCTGCTCCAGAGTGGTGAGATGGACATTTTTTAAATAATAGTTGATTTGGTAGGTTTATGCTGTGTAGGTGTCATACAATACATTTCTAATATGAGATCCTTCTCATGCTGTGGACAGGCCTATGGTGAGACGGCACGGGACCAGTGGGTCAAGGAGTGGCCTGGTCAGGTGGTCATCTGCACCTCGCAGATGTTTTGGACCTTAGAAGTTCATGAAGCCATCAAAACAGGGGCTAATGTGGGTCTTTACATGATTTACTCAGCTTTGTTTATTATTTTTGAATACTTAAATCACAGCAAATTGAATTCATATTTATACATGTTCCCAATTTTAAAATTAACTTTAAAACTATATTTGACCAAAAGAAAAAAAAAAGAAAATTAATTATTTTATTGTAGAAGTACTAAGCCGAAATGTGTCACGTTCATGTCTGAGATGATTATTTTTAAACAAATCAGAAACCACAATAGTGTCACCTTGAGAGAAGAAAATGTAGTGAAAAGTTTTCTCCTCTTTGTAGGGTATAAAGGACTACTATCAACAACTCCAAAAGCAACTGAATGACATTATAAAGCTGGTGAGAGGAAAACTAGCCAAGCAAACACGGACTACTCTGGGAGCACTTGTCACCATCGATGTTCATGCCAGGGATGTAGTCATGGAGCTTATTGAGAAAGGTAGCTCTGGCTCAATGATTTTTATTATTAAGAGCATAGTGACGTTCAGCAGCCAGAAACAGACTCCACGTGTTGCTCTCATTCGATAGGTGTATCGCATGAAACTGATTTCCAATGGCTAGCCCAGCTTCGTTATTACTGGAGCAATGACAACGTTCGTGTTCGCATAATCAACTGTGACGTTAAATATGCCTACGAGTACCTGGGCAACTCTCCACGTCTGGTCATCACTCCTCTGACTGACCGATGTTACCGAACCTTGGTATAAAAAAATATTCAAATCATATTTTTATATTGTGTCCTAATATGTGTTTAAGGAACCTTAAATATGAATAGATGTTTTTTTTTCTGGAAAAATAAATAAACTAAGAGATCAATTACCAAAGATTTACCTACCTCCATTTTAGATTGGAGCTTTCTACCTGAATTTGGGTGGTGCACCTGAGGGTCCAGCAGGAACTGGAAAGACTGAAACCACCAAAGATTTGGCCAAAGCTCTTGCTGTTCAGTGCGTGGTGTTTAACTGTTCAGATGGATTGGACTATCTTGCTATGGGAAAGGTATCAACCACTAAAAATTCAAAATATAGGTGTAATTTTGGCTCTTCTGTTTCATACAATATGCACAACAAATTTCTATGCTAATTTGTATTTTAATACATTTTATTATAGTTTTTTAAAGGTTTAGCTTCGTCTGGAGCATGGGCATGCTTTGATGAATTCAACCGTATTGAGCTGGAGGTGCTGTCTGTAGTAGCGCAGCAGGTTCTGTGCATCCAGAGGGCCATCGAGCAGAGACTGGAGTACTTTGACTTTGAAGGAACCACACTTAAACTCAACCCCAACTGCTTTGTGTCCATAACAATGAACCCTGGCTATGCAGGACGTTCAGAGCTCCCAGACAACCTTAAGGTATTTCAAAAAAATCATTTTAATTGTCAATTTTGAATATTTTGATTATTCCTTGCATCATTTGTTACTGTTCAAATCATCCACATTATTGTACACACTGCAATGAACTGAAACCAATTTAATACTCAAAACTCCATTCCAGATGCTTGGAAAACAGCCTTTGTTCTTCCTTTACTGAAGGGAGGTGACCCCACCTCACTGAACAACTATCGACCAATCTCTAAACTCTGCATTTTAGCCAAGGTTCTAGAAAAAACTGATAAACTCTCAAATCAAAAATTACCTGGACTCATTTAACATCTTACCTCTCCATCAATCTGGTTTCAGGAAACAATACAGCACAACAACTGCTTCACTGAAGGTTCTTAATGAGTTTGTTGAAGCACTGGATGCTAAGGATTATTGTGCTGCACTTTTCTTAGACCTGTCTAAAGCTTTTGACACTGTGGATCATAACATCTTGTGTCATAAACTCTTAGAAATCAGTTTCTCAGATCACACCATTGGTTGGTTCTCTAACTATCTCTCAGACCAGAGGCAATGTGTTCAACATAATGGTACTTCCTCCAGTTATTTAACAGTCAACAATGGTGTACCACAAGGCTCAGTCTTAGGACCCACCCTCTTTAAAATCTACATACGTAACGTTGGTAAAACCATCCCTGATGCATCCATACATTTCTATGCTGATGACACAGTTGTCTATTGTCGAGCTAAAACAGTTGCTAAGGCTTTCCAGCTTTTGCAATCTGCATTTAACATCATCCAGACTGATTTGTTCCACCTCAAGCTTGTCCTAAATGCTGACAAAATCAAAGGGATGCTTTTTTAAAATAGAAAGTCGGTCCCAGCAGTTCTTCCTCTGATTTCATCCTCAAATGGTGTCCCCATTGAGTTTGTTGATTCCTATAAATATTTGGGTATCTTGGTCGATTCGCATCTCTCTTTTAAGCTCCATGTGGAAAACTTGGTAAAGAAACTGAAAGTTAAACTGGGTTTCTTTTTCAGAAACAGATCCTGTCTAACTCTGAATGCTAGGAAACACCTTGCAACTGTGACTTTCCTTCCCTCCATCGATTAACGCTCCTACAAGAACCCTGCAGATGTTGGATGCTGTCTATCATGGTGCACTAAGATTCATAACTGGCTGTGATTATCGTACCCACCACTGCACCCTGTATTCACTGGTTAACTGGACATCATTAACTTCACGCAGACTCTCTCACTGGTACATTTTCATCTTTAAATCACTTCTTGGTCTGCTGCCTTCTTACATCTCATGTCTCTGCGTGAGTGCAGCTACAGCGTGCGCTCTCAGGACATTATTACCTGCAGTGTTCCCTCAATGAGGACTGAACTAGGCAAAAGGGCCTTCTCCTACTCCGCTCCTGTTTCCTGGAATATCTTACAAAAAGATCTGAACGTCTCGACCTTGACCTCTCTAAGAGGCTTTAAGAATCTGTTGGACTCCTGGCAGGGACCAATGCAGACATGTTCCTGTTTTTAGTTTTCTACTTTCGCCTTAGAATCTAGCTGTTTTTTGTTACTTTTCTTTTCTTTTGCCTTCCTATTTGTAAAAAAATAAATAAAATTGTATGACTTTTTATAACTGTTTATTGTTGTTGCTGTTGTCCATTGTTTTCATCAAGGTCTCTCTTGTAAATGAGTCCTCGAGGCTCAATGGGATTTACCTGTCAAAATAAAGGTTGAAAAATGAATGAATAATACAATTTAATTCCTCAGATATATAATGTTAACTTACTTTTTATGTATATGAATGTCTCTGTTCAATGCCCTGAGATGATTCAGTTGTGACTTGGTGCAATATAAATAAACTGAATTGAAGTGAATTTAATTTAAGATAAATAAACAGAAGTGAGAATGTTCCTGTGAAAAAATGGCAGCACATTTATCCTTTCTTTCTGTGCAGGTGTTGTTTCGAACAGTGGCCATGATGGTTCCAAACTATGCTCTAATAGCAGAGATCTCGCTGTATTCTTACGGCTTCCTCAACGCCAAACCACTGTCAGTAAAAATTGTGATGACCTACAGGCTTTGTTCAGAGCAGCTCTCCTCTCAGTTTCATTATGATTATGGTATGAGAGCTGTCAAAGCAGTACTTGTAGCTGCAGGAAACCTCAAGCTCAAGTATCCTGACGAGAATGAAGACATTCTGGTAACTTTTCAAAACTTTATTTGATTTTTTTTAAAACCTTAGCCCATGCACTGATTCTAAACCTTAGTTGTCAATACATTTGCAATTTGACATCCTTTTAATTGGAATTTCTTATATTGTTCAATTCAGCTCCTGAGATCCATAAAGGATGTTAACGAGCCCAAGTTTCTCTCTCATGATATTCCGCTCTTCAATGGCATCACCAGCGATTTATTTCCAGGCATTTCTCTTCCTATCGCTGACTATCAGGTTTGAAATCTTAATATCTATCTTTGCTTTTGGACAAGCTAACAGTTCCATTGCTGTTATTCGTCTCATAATGTATTTTACAATCAGTTTGTTGTCTTATATTTGTCAGCTGTTCTTAGAGGCTGCTGAAGAATGCTGTAAAAATCACAACGTACAGCCAACGCAGGTCTTCTTACAAAAGATGATCCAAACATATGAGATGATGGTTGTTAGACACGGGTACGTTTTAAATTGTGTTTTTGTACCCTGATTGCCATGTTTCCAGTTATACTTTTGTGACTGAATCATAATCTGAAGAAAATCACATCATGGTGGTCTTTTTCAGGTTTATGTTGGTGGGAGAGCCCTTTGCTGGAAAGACAAAGGTGCTGCATGTTTTGGCAGACACTCTGACTCTCATGAATGAAAAAGGGTATGGAGCAGAAGAAAAGGTCATCTTCAGGACAATGAATCCAAAGTCCATTACAATGGGACAGCTCTTTGGCCAGTTTGACCTAGTTTCTCATGAGGTAAAAGTGTGCCTTCCACTAACTGTATTACTTGATGGAGTGATCTTTTTATTTTTGGTATTAAGGCACAACTTGAACAGCTTGCTGTCTGTTTCTTGTTCTATTTTCTTCTCACTTGTTGACTTTCACTTTTTAGTGGACAGATGGGATTGTGGCCAACACATTTCGTGAGTTTGCATTAGCTGACACACCAGACCGCAAGTGGGTGGTGTTTGATGGTCCCATAGATACTCTGTGGATTGAGAGTATGAACACTGTGCTGGATGACAACAAAAAAGTACAAAACATTCAGTGAAATGTTGGCTGTTTAAGCTTCCTATGTGCTTCATATACTTAAGCTACTTACATTTGTTTTGCTGTGCTGATCACTTACAGTTGTGTCTAATGAGTGGTGAGATCATTCAGATGTCAAGTCAGATGAGTCTGATTTTTGAAGCCATGGATTTATCACAAGCTTCTGTGAGTAAAATCTGTGCTGCTAATACAGTTTTAGGCAAATTTAGTAACTATAGTTTTCATTTGGCAAAGAATCACAATTGCACATGTTTAATCCCATATGTACCTGAAGTTTATATAATTTATATATTTTTAGTTTATGAAGATGTATGTTTGCGTTACTTTCTATTTTATGTGTCCTCAGCCTGCCACAGTCAGTCGATGTGGGATGATCTACATGGAGCCGTCTCAGCTGGGCTGGAAGCCTTTGGTGATCTCCTGGATGAACACTCTTCCTGAAGCTCTGCAGACCCATGTCAGCCGCTCTCTACTGCTGGAGCTCTTCCTCTGGCTCCTGCCACCCACCCTGATACATCTGCGAAAACACTGCAGAGTGAGTGACTGCCCAAGCTGCAAATCATTTCATGCATAAACATATTAGAAAATTTGGAAGTTTCTATTTATATTCTAGATGTTGCAGATTTGTGATGTAAGATACCATACTTTGTTGGTTCACAGGAAGTTGTTCCAACAAGCAACAGTAACACTGTAGTGTCCCTGTGTCGATTGTTTGAGATGCTTCTCACTGAACCAGTAAAGACGAATCCTGGATATCCAGAAATTCGTACTTGGATCATGGTAAAACAACAAATTGTTTTGTCATTTCTATTATCGTTTTAACCCCATGTATTCTAAGTATTGGGTAAGGCATGTACATTAAAAAGTTGAATCTTCTCTTTATGTGCACTTTTCAACAAAGTGAAATTATGTTCATACCTCTTGTGTATTTTATTTTCTTGCTTGCAGGCAGCTTTTACGTTCTCTCTGGTCTGGTCTGTGGGTGGTGCCTGTGATGCAGACAGCAGAGAGAAGTTTAGTGAGTTCTTCAGGAGAACCATTTCAGGAAAAACAAAGGAAAATCCAATCCCTCAAACAGTGGGGAAATGGGAGTGTCCACTGGATGAGAAAGGCCAAGTGTATGATTACTTTTACGAGGTAAGGTGTTATCCTTTACTCAGAAAAGATTGACTTGAGGTCAATCAGAAATTCTTAATGCAATCCCCTCTACAGTTTAAAGGAAAAGGCAAATGGATTCACTGGAATGAGGAAATTCAAAATATCAACCTTGGGGACAAAAACACAAAAGTACAGGAGATCATTGTTCCCACTATAGATACAGTTCGTTACACTTACTTAATGGACCTTTGCATCAACCACGGAGTGTAAGTATTTTCAAAGGATTACAGGCACATTAATCAATATATTTAAATTATATATATATATATATATATATATATATATATATATATATATATACATATATATATATATATATATATATATATATATATATATAGAGAGAGAGAGAGAGAGAGAGAGAGAGAGAGAGTTTAACATGATTTTACTTAAACACAAGAGTAATTTCATGTATAGTTAATTTCATAAAATTGGTTTTTGTATGTTTTGTTCTGCTGATGAAGCCCTCCTCTGTTTGTTGGTCCTACTGGCACTGGAAAGTCTGTCTATGTGAAGGAGAAACTGATGAATAATCTAGACAAAGACAGTTTTCTTCCCTTCTTCATCAACTTTTCAGCTCGAACTAGTGCAAACCAAACTCAGGTTAGTTTTAGTGACATGAGAATAAAATATTTGCCTTTTAAAACCTTTGGATCACCAAGAAAGCACATGTAAGGATAAATGTTTATAAAATAGAATTTGAACAAATCTGTTTGAATATTCCACAGTTTACAATGTACCTAAAACGTTTTCCAGAATATCATCATGTCCAGATTGGATAAGAGAAGGAAAGGTGTTTTTGGCCCTCCCATGGGGAAAAAGTGTATCATCTTTGTAGATGATATGAACATGCCTGCTCTGGAACAGTTTGGTGCTCAGCCTCCTGTGGAGCTTCTTCGACAGTTCATAGATCATGGAAACTGGTAAACTGTTTCATATTAAAATACTATTTAAATTTTAAAATAAACATGCAGTGAATAACTTTATTACAAAGGTAGAACTCAGTTTTGATGCTCTGGCAGGTATGACCTTAAGGATACATCCAAGATTAGTCTTGTGGACCTGCAGCTCATCTCAGCAATGGGTCCCCCTGGTGGTGGAAGAAATGCTATAACTTCTCGATTTCTACGGCATTTGAACATTTTTAGCATAAATCCCTTTAGTGACGATACCATGGTTTGGATTTTCTCCAACATTGTGAACTTCTATCTGAAAAACAGTATGTTCCCTCTTGAATGTTTTCCTGTTGGCAACCAAATAGTGACAGCAACAATGAAAGTGAGTTCCCTGTAATATCACAGTTAGATGTTCTGATGTTTGAAAGTCATTTTTTAATCAGTTTTTATCTCCTGCAGGTGTATAAGGAAGCCATGGAAAACCTGCTTCCAACACCAGCAAAGTCTCACTATACGTTCAACCTACGAGACTTCTCCCGCGTCATTCGAGGCTGCCTGCTGCTGAAGAAGGAGTCTCTGGAACACAAACATACTATGATTCGGTTGTTTGTCCACGAGGTCCTCCGTGTCTACTACGACCGACTGGTGGATGACAAGGATAGAGCATGGCTCTTTAATCTGATGAACAGCGTCCTCAAAGATCATTTCAAAGAGTCCTTTGAGCAGGTCTTTGATCACCTGAAAAAAGGCCATAAAGTAAGTCAAGGTTCGGTTTTTCCACTGTAGTAACATAGTTTTCACTATTGGAGTGTAAGCAGTAGATGTAGAAGATGTTACAATGAATAAATCTGTTTCATACGTAACATCATGAGGACATGTTTAGGCAGCGCTACATGTGTAACTTTGTGCTACACATATATTTTTCCCTTTCAGCTGGTAGAGGAAGACATGCAGAATCTTCTCTTTGGTGATTACATGAACCCTGACCATGAGGATGATGAGCGTTTATATGCTGAGGTGCCCTCCATGGATACCTTTGCTGAAGTGGTGGAGTCATGTCTTGAAGAATACAACCAGATGCACAAGAATCGGATGAACCTTGTCATCTTCCGGTAAATTGTTTTGATTACAGTATTTGAAATGTGAAGTTCTTTTACGGGCAGCACGGTGGCGCAACTGGTAAACCTGCTGCCTCTCAGCAAGCTAGTCCCTGGTTCAAATCCCGGTCTGGGGGCCTTTCTGGGTGGAGTTTGCATGTTCTCTCTGTGCATGCGTGGGTTTTCTTCGGGTACTCTGGTTTCCTCCCACAGACCAAAAACATGCATGTTAGACTGATTGGTAACTCTAAATTGTCCCTAGGTGTGAATGAGAGAGTGAATGGTTGTTTGTCTCTGTGTGTCCCTGTGATGGACTTGTGACCTGTCCAGGGTGTTCCCCGCCCCTCGCACAGTGATTGTTGGACATGGGCACCGGTGACCCCCGTGACCCAAAATGCAATAAACGGGTAAAGATAATGGATGGATGGATGGAAGTTATTTTATTAAGCTAGCAGGTTTTTAAAAATTAAACAAGAATATATTTATAGCAAACTAACTAACTTGGGGCGGCTGTGGCTGAGTGGTTAGAGCCTCCTCCAATGGGAGAGTTGGGGGCTTGATTCCACCAACAGTCACATGCTAAAGTGCCCCAGGGCAAGACACTGAACCCCTCATTGCCTCCAATGTGTGTCCCATCAGTGTATGAATGCTATAAAGCACTGATTAGTCTTTGCAGAGATCTAGTAGAGTGCTGTATGAGTGGGTACATGAGGGCATAGATTGTAGTGTAAAACGCTTTGAGTACCTTGATTCAATAGAAAGGCACTATATAAGCACAGTCCATTTACCATTTATCATATGTGTAGAGGAATTTAGAACGGTGCTTTAATAAGGCTGATCACATATTGTGTTTCACTGAGAAAAATAATCTCTTTCATTTAGCTATGTCCTGGAACACTTGTCCCGTATAAGCCGAGTGTTAAAGCAGCCAGGAGGTAATGCTCTGCTGGTGGGAGTGGGAGGCAGCGGTCGTCAGTCCATCACCCGTCTGGCTACATCAATGGCTCATATGACCATGTTCCAGCCTGAAATCTCTAAGAGTTACGGCATGACAGAGTGGAGGGATGACCTCAAGGTTAGCCTGACACTTTTGAGAAGACTTCTGTGACATGTTATCATTTTTGTGGGATTAGTTTTGTAATGAATTTTACTTAGATTAAATGATATATACAGACAAACAGTACGTGAAACTCAAAATGGAATGAGGTGCTTTAGACTGGACTGTATGTTATTGTGTTTAAATGCAAACTTGTTCATATCTTCCATTTTTCCAAGACAATTAGTTGTGAACTTCTCTGTACAGGTGAAGAAAACGTAAATAAAATGAACTGGTTCTAATGTTTATTCAACCATAGATGCTGCTGAAAAATGCTGGGGTTAAAGGACAGAAGACAGTTTTCCTGATAACTGATGCTCAGATCAAAGATGAGGCTTTTCTGGAGGATGTGGACAGTGTTCTGAACTCAGGAGAAGTACCTAATCTGTTTGCTGTAGATGAGAAGCAGGAAATTATGGAGGTAGCTGTTTTGATAGCCCTAAACAGATCTTCATTTCTTCTTTACAAAGTAATTTCTTCTTTAAAAAAAAGTTTAGTAAATATTAAAAGGATTCCTTATTTGTTGTTCTTTTTTTAGACAATGCGTCCCATCGCTCAGGCTGGTAATAAGAATTTGGAGCTGAGCCCCTTGACTCTGTTTGCCTTCTTCGTGGCACGCTGTAGAGAGAACCTACACGTAGTTGTTGCCTTCAGTCCCATCGGAAACACCTTTCGAAATCGCCTACGACAGTTTCCATCTCTTATTAACTGCTGTACTATTGACTGGTATCAGGTAATTTGTGAACGTAAAAATACATCTATTTACAAAATGTTTGCAAAAGAATGTACAAACTTCAAGTACTAAAACATGAAAAAAAAAACATGTTTACTTGGATTAATCCTTGTTGAAATAAAAGACAAAACAATAGTAAAAGTATGCAAAACTCTGTTTGCTTTTTTTTTTTCATTTATGTGCCTGTTTACTGATGCTTTTCTTTCTGTGTCCTGACAGTCATGGCCAGAAGAAGCTCTTGAGCGAGTAGCCAACTCCTTCTTGGAGTCACTGGAGATGAGTGAAAATGAAAGGCAGGAGGTTATACCCATCTGCAAAACATTTCACACCTCTGCCAAACAACTCTCACAAAGGTAAGACGATTGTTCTTTGTAACTTCTATGTTCAGATGTGAAAGAAATAAAGGCATCTAATTATGCTGCTGTTTTAATTTCAGATTCCTCACAGAACTAGGGCGCCCTAATTATGTGACTTCTACATCCTACCTGGAGCTAATCGCAGCTTTCCGTCTACTGCTCACTCAGAAAAGAGACACTGTCATGAAAGCAAAACAGAGGTACATCAATGGTTTGGATCAACTTGCCTTTGCTGAATCTCAGGCATGTGAAATTCTATTTTTACCATTTTTTTTCTCTTTCTTTATTTTGACATTTTTAAAAGACTAAATGTTGCCATGCATTAGTCACAATCTATTTTTGCAGGTTGCTGAGATGAAAAAGGAGCTAGTAGATCTACAACCCAAACTGGAACAGGCAAAGATTGACAACACCAAAATGATGAAGGTGAATGCAAGAAAGTACTTCATTCCATCTCTACACCAATGTCGATGTTTGTTTGAATAATGTAAAGAACATTGGAAAAGTTAAATAGATTTTTTTTTTTATTATGGGATTTTTCAGGTGATTAAACAGGAGTCTGTAGAAGTGGAAGCAAAAAGTAAAGTTGTGCGAGCCGATGAAGAGGCAGCAACTATAAAAGCCAGTGAAGCCCAGGCTCTGAAGAATGAGTGTGAGAGTGACTTGGCTGAAGCCATCCCAGTTCTGGAGGCTGCCATCTCTGCCTTGAACACGTTAAAAGTCAGTGTTCTTCAACTGCTTCTCCTTCGTTAGAGCAACTGAACATTGCTATTCAAGTAACGGAAACTGTGTTATTTCAGCCAACTGATGTCACAATTGTGAAAGCGATGAAAAATCCACCTTCAGGAGTGAAGCTGGTGATGGCAGCTGTGTGTGTGATGAAGATGATAAAACCAGATAGGATAGCTGACCCTGCTGGGACTGGGAAAAAGGTTAGACGGAGTATAAAATAATCTCATTAAGAATATCTCCCTTTTTATTAGTTGCTGAAACACTTTTAAAGCTCATTGACACAAACTGTTTCTCGTGCTCTTATTAAGCTTCTTTTTGTATATTGCAATGGGCTTTTTTATGTGTAGATTTTTGATTACTGGGGTCCAAGCAAGAAGCTACTGGGAGATATGAACTTTTTACGAGATCTGAAAGAATATGACAAAGACAATATTCCTGTGAGTGTCAAATTTTTTTTTTTTTTTTTTTAATTCATTAGACTATAAAACCTTTGGATATTGTTCAAACCTATGAAACGTTTGATTTGGTCACAGGTCCCTGTGATGCAAAAAATCCGTAGTGAGTTCATGACCAACCCTGACTTTAATCCCAGCATTGTGGCTAAGGCCTCCTCTGCAGCAGAAGGTCTGTGCAAGTGGATCCAAGCAATGGAGGTCTATGACAGGGTGGCAAAGGTGCAGTGTTTCTTCAGTTTATTTTTATTATGAAGTGTACCATTTTAGACTGTTCCTTGTTCCTAAATCTCAACAAGTGGCTTTGGATTTTAGGTTGTTGCCCCTAAAAAGGCCAACCTTGCAGAGGCACAGGAGTCCCTGGCTGTTACCAGGGCTCTGCTAGACCAGAAAAGAGACGAGTTAAAAGAAGTTGAGGACCGCTTGGCTGCACTTCAGACAACCTTTGAGGAGAAGACAGAGGAGAAGGCCCAACTGGAGTTCCAAGTAGATTTGTGCGGAAAGAAGCTAGAGAGGGCTGAAAAGCTCATTGGTGGTCTGGGTGGAGAAAAAAGCAGGTCATGATGAGGCTATTCTTTTAGTATTATTTACAAATAGAAGAATAAAAGAGTGACTTTATTTATTAATCTTTTTTTAGATGGTCAAAAGCTGCAGATGATCTGCAGAACACCTATGACAACTTGACTGGGGACGTTCTTATCTCTGCTGGTGTCATTGCATACTTGGGAGCGTTCACTGCTGGTTTCAGACAGAGCTGCACTAAGTTATGGACCAGTCTCTGCCAAGTAAAAGTTTTCTGTTTATTGTTTAATTGTCACTTTTTTTCTAACACATGCATAATTGAATAATATCAATCTGTTGTCCTAATTAAATGTTTCTAGTCTAAGAATATCCCATCCTCAGATGACTTCTCTCTCAGTAAAACTCTGGGAGATCCCATAAAAATCAGAGCTTGGAACATTGCAGGCCTTCCCAGTGACTCCTTCTCTATTGACAATGGTGTCCTTGTCAGTAACTCACGTAGATGGTGAGTGTGTTATTCTGACACACACTATTCTCATTGTTTCATCTTTCACTAAAACATTTATCAGAAATTGACTTCCTTTTTTAATTTGTACAAAATATTCCTTTGTGTGTTTTCCTTTTAGGCCTTTGATGATTGATCCTCAAGGTCAAGCCAACAAATGGGTGAAGAATTCAGAGAAGGACAATAACCTGAGTGTAGTCAAGCTAACAGATGCAGACTACATAAGAACTTTAGAAAATTGCATTCAGTTTGGAACACCCTTGTTGCTGGAGAATGTAGGCGAAGAGCTGGACCCGTCTCTTGAACCACTGCTGCTTAAACAAACCTTCAAACAAGGTACTGTGGATATGGCTGTGTGAGAGGCCCTAAAATGATTTGAAATAAAATGAGTCTACAAAGGTTTTATTTTTACCTAGGTGGTGTGGATTGCATCCGGCTTGGCGAGAGTGTAATCGAGTACTCACCTGATTTCCGTTTCTACGTCACCACTAAGCTCAGGAACCCACACTATCTACCAGAACTGGCCACCAAAGTGTCTTTGCTCAATTTTATGATCACACCAGAGGGTCTGGAGGACCAGCTGCTGGGGATCGTTGTTGCAAAGGAAATGTAACAAAAACGTTCTCTTTCATATGTCAGAGAAACGTTAAATTCACTGGTTTTTTTTTTTTGCATCACTTGCTTCTATGTTTATATATTCACAGACCAGAACTAGAAGAGGAGAGAAACGCATTAATCCTGCAGTCAGCTGACAATAAGAGGCAGCTAAAGGAAATAGAAGATAAAATACTGGAAACTCTGCAATCTTCTGAGGGAAACATCCTGGAGGATGAGAGTGCCATTCAGATTCTAGACTCTGCAAAGCTCATGTCAAATGAGATTACCAAGAAACAGCAGGTGGGAACTGCTTCAGTCAGCCTAAGAACGTGATGTGGCAAACATATTTGATGCCGTAACATTTCGCTGTTAATTATTTTCAAGATTGCAGAGAAAACCGAGATCAAGATTGCTGAGTCTAGAGAAGGTTACAGACAGATTGCCAAGCATTCATCGATCTTGTTCTTCAGTATTGCTGATTTGACCAACATAGACCCCATGTACCAGTACTCACTCAGCTGGTTTGTGAACCTCTACATTAACTCTATTCAACACAGGTGGGTAATGCACAAAAAATATGTTTTTACCAGCAGTTTAATGCATTTTGTCTACAACTTCCACTTTAAATATAGACATTAAACATTAAGACATCAGCTCACCTGGCTGACAACAAAATTCAGAACTGATATGTGTCTGCTAACAGTACACTGAAGTCCCAGCTCCCTTTACTGTTTCTTAAAAAAAACAAAAAAACACTTTGTAGAGAAAAACAGATTAAATTTATCAGCTATACAAGTAGCATGGATTTTTGTACCACACATTTACACTATCATAGTACTAATAGACATAAATAAGTTTCATTGAACCACGGACACATATAAAGCTGGATTCAGATATTTAAATGGTCTATTACATCATTTTATAAAAGTTACATCATGGTTTAAACTGTTGGGAAAAGGCCGACATCATAGATTTTCTGAAGTTTTACTTTTTGTACTTTTCATTTTGTTCATTAGTTTGAAATCCAAGATGCTGGAGATAAGGCTTCAATATTTAGCTACTCACTTCACCTATAACCTGTACTGTAACGTCTGTCGGTCTCTCTTTGAGAAGGACAAACTCCTCTTCTCCTTCCTTCTCTGCTGCAACTTGCTACTGTAAGTGGTTTAGCTACTTTAGCGATCCTACAAAGCCATTAAGCCTTTACAAATGATCATATGTGATTTCTATATTGTTTTATCATCCATTAATATACCTTTTCAGAGCAAAGGGGGAGATTGAGTACCAGGATTTTATGTTCTTGCTGACTGGGGGAGTGGGCCTGCAGAACACCATTCCCAACCCAGACCCCAGCTGGCTACAGGAAAAGAGCTGGGAAGAAATCTGCAGAGCTAGTGAACTGCCCAGCTTACAGGGAATAAAGTACAAAGCAATATTCACTTAAATAAACTAGTCTTTGCGGCTTAGTTCTAATTACTTCACCATTTTTGTGTTTTCTACTGTGATTTATTTTCAAATAATACATTGATTTGTTTTTAACTTTACAGAGAGGCTTTCATGAAGAGCCCAGCAGACTTTAAACCTATTTACGACAGCAAAGAGCCATGCAGTGTTGGGCTGCCAGATCCTTGGTCTGAGCGTCTCGGTAACCTGCAGAAAATGATCATTATCCGCTGTCTCAGGCCTGATAAGATACTACCAGCTGTCACTAAATATGTGACTAACAATCTGAAAAAGAACTTTGTTCAGCCCCCTCCCTTTGACTTGAGTAAGAGCTACCTGGACTCCAACTGCACCATCCCGCTGGTGTTTGTTCTTTCTCCAGGAGCAGATCCCATGGCTAGTAAGTACTTCATTTTCTGTGTGTCAAGAAGCTTATAGAACTGTCCTTACAATGAAAACCATTAATTACAACAATGTCTTTCTATAGGTTTATTAAAGTTTGCCAGTGACAAGAAAATGAGTGATACTAAGTTCCAGTCTATCTCTCTGGGTCAGGGCCAGGGGCCCATAGCTGCTAAAATGATATCCACAGCTATGCAGGATGGCACGTGGGTCTGTTTGCAGAATTGTCACCTGGCTGTTTCGTGGATGTCCACTCTAGAGAAAATCTGTGAGAACTTCAGTCCTGCAACATGCCACCAAGATTTCCGTCTCTGGCTCACAAGTTACCCATCATCCAAAGTAAATCCTCCCTCCCCACATGTGTATGAAAAACAGCTTTAAGCAGTTAGACACAAAATATCAGATTATACAAGAATTCCTAACGTATAAAAATGACTTTTATGTTTGAAATCAGTTTCCAGTGACCATCCTGCAGAATGGGGTAAAAATGACAAATGAGCCCCCTACAGGACTTCGTCTCAACCTGCTGCAGTCTTACTTGACATATCCTATTTCTGACACAAACTTCTTCAATAACTGCCCAAATAAAGAGATAGTAAGTTAACCTCACATTTAGTAATGAATTCCCTTTGTCACATAGAGAATGACCTCTGACTTGTAGATTTATTTACCAGGTTTGGGAGAAGCTCCTGTTTGGATTGTGCTTCTTCCATGCTCTTGTTCAAGAGAGGAAGAAATTTGGTCCACTGGGGTGGAACATTCCCTACGGCTTTAACGAGTCTGACCTTCGCATAAGCATCAGACAGCTTCAGGTATTTATTTGAAAGTGTGGTTGTGAAACTCCTACCATTACAAACCTTATAGCACCTTTGGTTTGTGTTTGTTCAGCTGTTTGTTAAAGAATATGATAAGGTGCCCTTGGAGGCCATAACGTATCTGACTGGAGAGTGTAACTATGGTGGTCGTGTCACCGACGACTGGGATCGGCGGCTCCTGCTGACTATCTTGGCTGATTTCTACAACAAGGGCATTATTGAGACACCTAGCTACCGTTTGTCACCCAGCGGTGAATACCTTATCCCACCTAAATCTAGCTACAAAGACTACATTATTTTCATTAAGGTAAAAAATATATATTCAAGAGGATGAATGTTTTTTGTTTTGTTTTCCTTTTTACCACAACTACTGAGTAATAATGTATTTTTTGTTTTCCAGAATCTTCCATTCAGCCAGCATCCAGAAGTGTTTGGGATGCATGAAAATGTTGACATCTCTAAAGATTTGCAGCAAACTAAGCTGCTGTTTGATTCGCTGCTTCTGACCCAGGGTGGAGGCGCAAAGGGTGGGGCCAGTACTGGAAGTGACCACACCCTGTATGACATCGCTAATGACATCCTTACCAAGGTTTAACCAATTAAATTAAATCTCTTCTTACTTTCAGATGTTTTACTTGTTAGTAGTAGCTATATTGATGTTGGTCATTTTGTGTATTATATTATTGTAGATATAAATGTCTGAACATATACAGTATACATATACATATACAGTATACATACCTGTACTTGTTTACAGCCAGCACATTTCTAAGACCAGTTGCGAGGGACAGTGTCAGGTTTGAGTTTTATCCCTCAATTAGGAGGAATATTAAAAAATAATGATAAAATGCTTTAAAAAATAGCTTAAAATTGTGAATTTTGTTTTAAGTCTTAAAAACAGCTTCAGTCTGTCGAGGTAGTCTCAGGCTTTCTATGATAACAGGAACTACACTTTTGTTAAGATTATATTTCCTGTGTCAATGAACTTCGGGGAATTGTTTTTTTATTGGCAGTGGACATTGCTGTAAAGTTCTTTTCAAAATAACCAAGATCTAAACAAATCTGTTGACCAGAATCTCAGCTGTTGTAGACTGAGCCAATACATATGATGTTCTTAGTTCAAGAGACACATTTAGGATCAGACTGAAAATATGACTGAGAGCATACTTACCGTATTTTTCAGACTATAAGGCGCACCGGATTATAAGGCGCATTAAGCAAAACAAGTTCATTTTGACAGATTTTTGAAAGCCGTATACCACATAAAATTGTTTCGAGGTCAGTATAAGCACAACCAGAATTAATACATAAGGCGTACCAGATTATAAGTCTCACTGTCGATTTGTGAGAACATTAAAGGATTTTAAGTGCACCTTATAGTCCGAAAACTACGATAAGTAGTAACGAGCTGTTTTAGTGAATATTAGCATATTATCTAAGATGGTAAAGCAGTAACTTTTTTTACTAGTTTAATAAAGACACTACTATTCAGCTCATCATATTGTTACTTATTGGAATCAAACACAAATGTCAGAGTATTTCTATTATTTATTTCTTATTTTCTTCTTCTTTTATATTCTGAATGTGCTGTACATTTATAACGTCCACATTTGCTTATCCCACCAGCTTCCAACTAATTTTGACACTGAAGCGGCTCTCTTGAAGTTCCCAGTGCTCTATGAAGAAAGTATGAACACAGTCCTCGTTCAGGAAATGGAGCGCTACAACATGTATGAAGAAACAAATCAGTGAATAACTATCACACGTAAACACCAAACTATACATCTCAAACTGCTGGTTTTTGTTTCACAGGTTGTGTGGCACTATTCGTGTGAGTCTACAGAACCTCGTAAAAGCTATTAAGGGCTTGGTGGTGATGGATTCAGAGCTGGAGGCAGTTGCAGGCAATTTGATAGTGGGCAAGGTCCCAGACAAATGGGCCAAGCGCTCTTACCCAAGTCTCAAACCTCTGGGTAGTTACATTAATGACTTTCTCTTAAGGCTCAGATTTTTACAGGTGAGAAAATTCTATGGCTTCATAAGATAAAAATATGACAAGTCTCATTTGGACAAGAAGTAAACTGTAGAAGAGTGTCAAGCTTTTCCTTCCATTTTCACTTTGTGTTCCTGAAGGTTTGGTATGAAACCAGAAAGCCCAGAGTGTTCTGGCTGTCTGGCTTCTTCTTCACACAAGCCTTCCTGACTGGAGCTATGCAGAACTATGCCAGGAAATATCATATCCCCATTGACATGTTGGGCTTTGATTTTGAGGTTCGAAGGCACATTTTATAAACTTTTTGTCCACACATATTGTTTCCTTCGCTCTAAGAAAGTAATAAATCAAATTCCAGGTCCTTCCAATTGATATGTCAGAAGCAGAGCCTGAAGATGGTGTTTACATTCATGGGTTGTTTCTTGATGGAGCTCGATGGGACAAAGAAAGGTAATAATAAGTTCACCTGTAGAATAAGAGCAATAACAACAAAATTAAAAGCAGAGCTGCACAGCAAAACACAATAAAGAATCAAATGTGTGCTAAAAGTACAAGGTAAAACAATATTTATGTTGGAAAACTTTATGAAAGCACACTGGGTGTACTAGAAAAATAACTGACCTGCCTTGTGTAGTGAGTAGTTTGATCTCCTGCTCCTTACTCAGACAGATGATCCTTGGCCCACAGACTGTTGGTCAGTGTTCACCCTCAGAGGGTTTTCCAGGTTCACCTGTTGCAAAATTGAACATCTAGTCTACCTTGTAAGCAACGGTAGCCTCCTTAGCCTTTAGCTTTTAATTGTTTTCTTTATATTATTCATTTAGTTTTCAATTGTCATCCTCACAAAACCAACCACCATCTCTTTATAAATTAGCTTTAAATTCAGAGTGGCTATGGAAACTGAAGATCTTTGGAGAAACATTCTTGTTTGAAAATGTAGAAGCTCCATTTTATTTATCTCTATAAATGTAAGTAGGCCTGTCACGATAACAAATTTTGCTCGGCCATTAATTGTCTCAGAAATTATTGCGATATACGATAATATTGTTTGAAATTTGACAATAATTAGTAACTATTGTCAAATTTAAGAAGAATTGTTTGTTAATGTTGTGTGTAGTACCTTTTTTGACCACCGGATGGCAGTACAAGACCATTTGAACCGAAGGATGGGTAAGGGAGTAAGGGAGCAAGCAGTGTGTCTCTTTAAGAAAAATGTGAGGGAGGCCCCTTGACATGACATGGGCTGTCCCTCTTTCCTTCTATTGGTTCTCAAAATGGTGGTCGCTCATTGTGGTTTGAGCTCTTTAGCATAACATTTTTCACGCAAAGCTTTTAATAAAATAATCAGTAAACAAGTTCTCAGCTTCTTTTTTCAGAGAAAAACAACTTTTTACACAAAGACACAGGTTTCAACCATGAATTTTTTTAGCTAAGACAAGACAGAGTTTTTTTTTCCCGAGGTCGGCCTGTTAGCTTAGCTTGTAGCTTAGCTTCTCAGCTTAGCTGCTTTTAACGATCCAAGAACACGATGTTAGACAATTAAAACGAATTAAAAAGATAAAAGAGAAAGTGAGGGGTCAGTGAAGAGCACCGGAGTTGAGCCTTTTGTCATCTAGTGTCTTCAGTAGAAAGAGAGAAACACGAAGAAACAATACAGTCGATAAATGAAAATGAGGGCAATAATTTTCATTTATCATGTGATTAATTGATTTATTGTTTATTGCGACAGGCCTAAATGTAAGGTACTTCATGCATTACTGTTTTACATTGTTTTGTACTCCTGTAAGTTTTCACAGAAAACATTTATCACTAGTTGTTTTGCTGCACATTATAACATTTTAATATTGAAACTTGTAATATTGTAATGTTTTTGTTTGGTTTCTTCCTCTAACATTAGATATTGTTGTCTCTTTTCCTCAGTGGAGTTCTGGCTGAGCAGCATCCTAAAGTACTGTTTGACTCTATGCCCATCATTTGGATAAAACCCAGTAAGTGTGACCTCACTCTGTCGGTCCAGCACCAGAATTTCAAATTGTTGACAAATTCAGTTTATATCAATTATATTTTAGGTGTTTGTTGCTGCTGTATTGTAGTTTCTGGGACATCCTATCCAATTTATTCTTTGTTTCACTCTTTTTTTTAAACAGCTGAAAAGAAAAGCAATGGTGAACCTCAGAAAATATATGTTTGCCCTCTTTATAAGACCAGTGCGAGGAAGGGCACTCTCTCTACTACTGGCCACTCAACCAATTTTGTAATTTCCATGCTGTTGCCCACCAGCAAGCTCCCTCAGCACTGGGTTAAACGTGGCGTGGCCATGCTCTGCCAGCTCGATGACTGAGATCAGACAACACACCGCTGGAGACTCAAGCACTTCATAATACCACCTGCATTCTTGTTACTTTTAACTTTATTCTTAAGCAATCCAAAATTAAATGTGATGTTTTGACCAAAAAAAAAACACATTCTTGTTTTTCCTCTGTCTAGTAACTACTACTCTCAAAGGGGCATCGTTTTATTCATAAAAATAATATAAAGTAATATTTACCATAATTACTCACAAAAAGATAAAAAACTATTTAGATGCATTGTGTAACTGCGAAAGCCCTACACAGACCAAGTTAACTGTTTATCAAAAAATGAAAAAAGTATAAACTATTGTTAATGAACTTAATAAACATGAAAAAAGACTGTTGTGTGCATAGATATTGGTTTTTAAAAACTCATACAACAAAACAGTCCTGTTTATTACATCAGGTTTTAGATCATCTTTTTAAATAACACGGACAGTAAAGAGGTTTGTGTCTGTGATATTATCAATATGACAATGTCTTTGTTAAATAGAGAGGTTGTGGTTTTTGGACCTGAGCATCTTGGGAATGACCTTTACAGTATTTCACTTTCTCTGGATGGCATATTTTGGCCTCCAGCTCTAATGTTAAAAATATTTCATTCTGATCATATCCTGATCAAAAATCTGTTATTTTTTGATCAGGACATATCTTTTAACCCCCACATTAAAAATGTTACTAGAACCACCTGCGTAATATCACATCGATTAGAAACATCTTGTCCAAAAATGATGCAGAAAAACTGGTCCATGCATTTATCATGGCTGAACTATTGCAATGGTTTGTTATCTGGATGTCCACAAACTTCTTTAAAAAGTCTTCAGTTGATCCAAAATGCTGCTGCCAGAGTTTTAATTAGAGTTAGGAAAGATCATATCTCTCCAGTTTTATCTTCTCTCCACTGGCTCCCTGTCAAATTCAGAATTGAATTCAAATTACTGTATTACTTCTAACCTACAAAGCCCTCAACAACCTAGCTCCACCTTATGTTACAGATCTTATTGTTCCATAGTTTCCGAACAGAGCACTTCACTTTCAGACTGCAGGCTTACTTGGGGTTCCTAGAGTTTCCTTTCATCCAACCTTTATTTATACAGGTTAATCCCATTGAGCCTCGGGGGCTCATTTACAAGAGAGACCTGATTCTAATAAAGAGTGACGACAGCAGTAGACAATCATAAAAAGCATACAAATTGAGAAGAACAAATAAAAGAAAATAGTATTAAAAATGAAACAAAAACAGCTATGTTGTAAAGTGATGTAGAAAACTAAAAACAGGATAATGTTCTTGGTCATTGGTTTTTGCCAGGAACTTAACAAATGTTTGAAACCACTTAGAGAGGTCAAGGTGGAGAGCTTCAAGTCTTTTTGCAAGATATTCCAGGAAACAGGAGCAGAGTAGGAGAAGGCCGTTTTTCCTAGTTCAGTTCTCACTGAAGGGACACTGCAGGTAATAATGTCCTGAGAGCGCACGCTGTAGCTGCACTCACGCAGAGACATGTAGGAGGAGATGTATGAAGGCAGCAGACCAAGAAGTGATTTAAAGATGAAAATGTACCAGTGAGAGAGTCTGCGTGAAGTTAATGATGTCCAGTTAACCAGTGAATACAGGGTGCAGTGGTGAGTACGACGTAGTCAGTTATGAATCTTAGTGCACCATGATAGACAGCGTCCAACATCTGCAGGATGCTTGTAGAAGTGTTCATGTAAATAACGTCACCGTAGTCAATGGAGGGAAGGAAAGTCACAGATACAAGGCTTAAAGTAAAATGAAAGAGCTTTCATGCTCCTCTTGTAGAACCAACTTCCAGTTTCTGTCCGTGAGGCTGACACGTCTACTTTTAAGATTAGGCTCAAGTTTTGATAAATCCTATAGTTGGGGTTGGTTTGGGTTTCCTGGGTTATCCCTTAGTTATGCTGCTATAGGCTTAGACTGCTGGAGGACAAATTTACCACATTCCCTCACTCTGCTGATGTCTTTACTTACCTGTTTGTATTTGCAATTATTTCTTTCTTAATGTGTTTTTTTTGTCTTTCCTCCAACAGAAAGTACATCTGAACCTGTCATTCTGTGTTTGTTTCTCCTTCCTGTTCTTCTCAAACCTCAGCCAGTCGAAACAGATGTACACTCGTCCTGAGCCTGGTTCTGCTGGTTTCTTCCTGTTAATAGGGAGTTTTTCCTTTCCACTGTTGCTCTTGTTCTTGCTCAGGATGGGAGACTGTGACCGAATGAAAATTCAACACAACCTGTTGACTTACTTCATTCCTTAGATAGATCGTTTTTAACTAATGGATTTTGTAATGTATGTGACTGTCTTTATTCAGCTCCCTGAAATGACTTTTGTTGTGCCTTGGCGCAATATAAATAAACTGAATTGAATTGGATTGAATTAAATTAAAAACATATCTCAAATGAGGAGCAGAAAAGCCTTTACAGTAATAACATTTTTTACGCTGCCAAACCGTTAACCGTGTGCTGCACTTCCTTTCAATTTATACTAAACGTTCTTGTCTGTAGGTGCTTTGTTTCTTGTTCTTGTCTCCATTTGTCTCTATGTTGTCTTCATTTTTAGCTCAATGTGAGATGATTGACACTAAATGTACATTCTGCAAGATAATCTAGTACAGTTACATTAAAAGACATAACGTGTTGTTTAAATATTTAATATAATGGCAACAATGCATTGTCTACTAGTGTTACAGATAATTTTTTTAGAAGTAAAATCAACCTAAAATGTGCACGATTATTATTATTATTCATAAATACTATATAGTTGTGTGTGTGTGTTTTTAAAAACATCCCCTGTTTTGTATTTGTAGAACGTTGGTGGCAGTTGTTGCAGTGTTTAGTAGGTCAAAGCTAGGTGCAGGTTGTGAAAACCACGTGATCAGATATTTTTGGTTGTGGGATTATAAATAGCTGCGTCATGTGTACATCCTGAGAAGCCCACCGGCTCCAGTGCTGTGAAAACTACCAGGGGAGCATAACCAGTTTAAGGTAAATACTGCACAACCAGAGTATATTTGATTCATTTTAAAACAGGAATTGTTAGTGTTGTTGTCAGTCTTTTAAATCTCAGTTGTGTTGTCTTTCTCGGCTATACTTTTAGAATAATGAGGTATAAATACTCACCTCGGTGTGTGGCATTGATCTCCAAACTTTGTTTTGTCAATGATGAAACTACATATTTCAATTTATCCACAGAGGATCTGTTGTCTAGTCAGGATTTTGGTGGAAATATCTTGGCGCACAATAGAATTGACTGTAAATATCTTAAGTGCGTTATGTTTTGTACTTGATTGACACGCGTTATTTCTTGTTTAGCTGCATTCAGCTCTAATTCAAGGCCTCGTGTGATGTGAAAGTTCTCTTGTCTGAAAACGTTTTCTATTTCTTAACTTTATGAACATGTTTCCTTAAAGCTGCCCTTTCTGCACTGACCGTTTTGGATTAACAGATGAGCGCAGAAACAGAAAGTGACTTTTATCAGTCGGAGGATGACCTGGATGACGATGAAGCCACTCAGTATATAATTGAACAAAGTCTGATTCAGTATAGAAAACTCAAAGGACTCAATCCAAGGTTGAAATTAGTCAAGCATGCATCAAAATACAGTATGTTTTCTACACCGCATGCATCTTTTTCATTGTGTGAATTCTTGTTTTCATCATTGTTTAGTGATTTAAAACCCAGCAGAGACCCTGATGAGATTTTCAAAGCCATCAGAGAGGGTAAGTTGCTCTGTTTAAACCCCTCAGAACTCATTCAGACAGTCGTGCAGAGGTTCTGATCTGATGGATCGTTGCAGGTGACGAGGTTGCACTCGGCAGACTAACGCTGCAACTGGAGACTCTGTCCAGAGTTGATGAGCGAGGATGGATCCCCCTGCACGAGGCTGCGGTAAAAGATAACAAAAGTATTCTGGAGATGATCTTTTCAGGTGGGAATGTCTTTAATGTTTGACTGTAGAGGCTCCTCTTAAAGTCCCAGCATGTTGATTTGCTTTTGTGTGTTTGTGCTGCAGCATCACCCCCAGGTTCAGCTCAGTGTCGCACACTGAAGGGTGAGACGCCTCTCTTTCTAGCTGTAGTTCATGGATTTCGAGAGAATGCCACGTTCATGTTACAGAACAGTTGTAACCCAGACACCCAGAACGACGAGCAGGATTCTCCATTGGTAGCAGGTATCGAAGTTTACCTCAAAGCAAGACTTTTTCAATTTTATTTTACTGTATGTACTTTATTCAAAAAGTCTTGTCTCTTCGTCTCCCAGCTATTCTGAATGACCAGTATGACCTGGCCACACTTTTGCTACGCTACAATGCTACAGTCGACCAAACTGGACCACTGAACAGGACGTGTCTGCATGAGTCTGCCTTTTTAGGTTTGGAGAACTTCGTACATCTGCTGTTAGAGTCGGGCGCCAACCCAAACGCACTTGATGTCAAAAAGAAAACTCCCCTGGCTTTGGCTGCGCAGAACGGACATCTGAATGTGGTAGAGGTTCTGTTACAAAAAGGTAAATATAGTGTGGTTTTGTACTCTGAATTTGCATATTTGGTTTTGTAAAGTCATTCAGAAAATCACTCACACCAGATGCAACGTAATTTTCGGACTATAAGCTGCTACTTTTTTCACACACTTTGAACACTGTGGCATATACAGTACAATGCTGCGGCTAATTTATGGATTTATTTTTTGTGTGTGATGGGCAAACGAGCTTCACGCTACCAAAACATTTAGCTTCGTCTCATCCAGGTGCTCACATAGCTGCCCAATACACATCTCCCTTGGGGGGTAGCAATCAATGACATCCTGGTAGTCTACTGTATATATTTTTTTTTAATCAGCCGTGTTGCAGGTACTGTTCAGATTTTTTTTTTTTACTGTATTTGTGTGTGTTGCCGGTACATATTTAATTAAAAGTTTAAAAAATAATCTTTTTTGTAAATATCACAGGTTACAACGTGAACGCCCGCGGTTTATACACAAGTGTGGCCTTATGTCAAATTTAAATTTTCTTTTTAAATTTAGCGGGAGCGGCTTATATTCAGGCGCGCTCAACAATCCAGAAATTATAGTATTATTGGTTGTGTCCAGGATTTTTATTGTATCTTGGTACTGTAAATAACACCAGGTCATATACAAACCAAGTACATGCAGTAAAAAAGGAACGTGTTAAATCTAAATCCTTATAGAGCCTTTGTATTATTTTCTAGGAGCCCGTGTGCGGTCTGAATCAGAGTCCAGTACTGTTTTATTTGATGCAGCTGCATCAGGACACCCTGATATTATCTCCTTGTTGCTGGACCACGGAGCAGATCCAACCCTCCCTCTTTACAGTGGCCACCTTCCAATTCACCGTGTGGCATACCACGGACACAGACTGTGAGGAGCACCCAAGTTAACGTTCTAACTTTCTAACTAAAGCCAAGCACTAACGTTTGGTCTCGTCTCTGGCAGGGCACTGGAAGTCCTCATCCCAGTGACCACTATGCAGGCTGTCAAGGAAAGTGGGATGAGCCCTCTCCATTCTGCAGCTGCTGGGGGGCATGCTCAATGTGTGGAGGTTCTGCTCAAAGCCGGCTATGATCCAAACTTCATGCTGCACCCGAGGGTGCGGCGAGGTTACGATGACGACCGCAGGTCTGCCCTCTTCTTTGCCGTTTCCAACAATGACCTGCACTGCGCCCGCTTGCTGTTGGAGGCTGGAGCACTGGTGAACCAGGATCCTATCAACTGTCTACAGGTGGCGCTCAGGCAGGGCAACTACGAACTTATCAACACCCTGCTGAGATTCGGCGCAAACGTCAACTACTACTCCCGTGTCAACACCACCCACTTCCCCTCAGCGCTACAGTACGCCTTGAAAGACGAGGTCATGCTGCGGATGATTCTGAACCACGGTTATGATGTTAAACGTTGCTTCGACTGTCCGTTTGGTGACAGTTCTCATGACTGCGCTCCATGGACATCCTCAGTCATCAAAGACATGGTGGTGAGACAAATTTGTATATAAATCAAATTATACCTGCAGGAGTTTCTACTTTACCCCACTATGATTTCCTTTGTCCCCTTTAGTTCTGTGAGGTGATAACAGTGTCATGGCTGAAGCACTTATGTGCTCAGGTGGTGCGCATCATGCTCGACTACACCGACCATGTCTCCTTCTGTCCTAAACTTAAAGAGGCCTTACAGGAGCAGAAACAATGGTCAGAAATCTGTCATATTCAAAGTAAGAACTTTGTTCATCCATCAGAGCCCATGGATTACAGTACTGTTTTCTTTTCCCCTGTATATGTGTGTATCTTTAAACCCACTCACTGTTTTTGTTGACTTTTTTTTTTTGCCCGTCAGGAAACTCACGAAGCCTAAAGCACTTGTGTCGGCTGCGGATAAGGGAACATCTCAGTCATCTGCGCTTGAGAGCTCCAGTTTTCATCAACTACCTTCCACTTCCTCCCAGGTTGAAAGACTACCTGCGCTTCAAGGAGTTCGATGTTTACAGCAGGGGGAGCATGGTGAACCTCTGATGAAAACACATTTAAAGATGTCACTGGTGCCAGAAGTTCCTCATAAGCTAGCGTTACCTTTTGGTGTTGTGCTTTGAAAATAACATTTTTATGAACTTGGCTTGTGATTTTATTTTGTAATAAAATGTAAATCTACATTGCTTTTAAAGAGCTATGTGTTGATGTAGGGACTCCTTTGGTTATGTAAATCTTTGAAAAAACAATTCTGAATTAAAGACATAGCATTCATTAAAGGAGTTCATATCACTTGCCACCTTTTACACTAGAATCTTTAACTAAAATCACCTTTTAACCTTTATTTATTTAACAAGGCAAATCCCATTGAGAGCACAGAAGGCAGACTAACATGCATCTTTTTGATCTGTGGGAGGAAACCGGAGTACCTGGAGAAAACGCACGCAAGCACGAGAAGAACATGCAAACTCCACCCAGAAAGACCCCAGGTCCAACTGGGGATTGAACCCAGGACCTTTTTGCTTTGAGGCAACAGCGCTAACCACTGAGCCATCATGCTGCCAGCTTTCCACCTTTAAAAGAGATGATTTAAAGCAACTTTGGTCAAGCCTCGAAAATGTTTTTATGCACATTTATATGCAATATTATAATATCTTGCACAATCTGTCAAAACATCTGTCAACAGAAAGTATGTGTTGAGGATGTTAGGTCATTTATGTGTTGGATACTGTTGAGGAGCTGTGGTGGCCATTTTGAATTGGGAGAACAACACATTTAAGTTGCAGATATACATTCACTTATTGCTTTCTGAACGTTTCAGTAAAATCTGTCCAGTAGATTTGGCTAACAGGACAGGACAGGACAGGACAATATGGTTGATGCAAACGTTTTAAACGCGTTGTTTAGTGATTTGAGTATGTATCAGGGATGATACCCAAATACTACCACACAAATTTTATCTCAATATAGATCAAACTGACTGAGGTACAGCCATTTTCTGTGTTGCCTATGGTTGACTAGCTGTGGCAGTGAATACGACGTGACTCCAAAAGTTAATCAGTTGTATTTATCCATAAATACTTACGGAAAGTTTCATTTAAATCCATCCATTGGTTCATGAGATATTTTGCTGACAGTCAGAGAGAGTTGACCTCTAATAGTTAATGGTAAAGTTTTAAAAACAAATCTCATCCGATCAGTTAATGCTCAGAGGATGACTCAGTTACTGGCACACCAAATTTTAGGTCAACATTTGTAAAACGTTTTGAGTTGTAGCCACTTGTTCATGAGATATTTTGCTAACACTGCAGACAAACAAAATACACAGAAAGGGGCAAAAACATTATCGTCCTTTCTTGTAGGCATTGCAGTCTACTGACTCTGACAACATGCTGTGGTACGACGAAGAATTACAAAAGTGGGATCGTTTTAAAGGTTTGCATATTTAAGTTATTTGCCCTACCACTTTTAAATGGACGTGTGAAATTCAGATATTTTATGTTTTAAAGAATCTAAGTAATTAAATTCAGTTGATTTATATGACGTAGCTCAAGTCACAACAGAAGTTATCTCAGGGCACTGAACAGAAACATTCATGTACATAAAAAGTAAGTTAACATTATTTATCTGAGGAGCAGGCAGCTTTGAGTCTAACTTTGTTGCAGACTCTCCTGATCAAGCACAAAGGCAACAGTGGAAAGGAAAAACTCCCTCATGAGGAAGAAACCTCCAGCCGAACCAGACTCAGGACAAGCGGCCATCTGCTTCAATCGGCTGGATTTGAGAGGAATAGATACACAATGGCAGGTTGAGAATCACATAAAATAAATTCAAATGTAAACTATGCATGTGTATGCATTTGTAACCATTCATTTTTTAAATTTAGGTCAATTTGTCCTCCAGTAGTCTAAGTCTATGGCAGCATAGCAAGCCAACCCTAACTATAGGATTTATCAAAAATTAAAGTCTTAAGCCCAACTGGACAATGTGTCAGCCTTACGGACAGAAACTGGAAGTTGGTTCCATAAAAGAGGAGCCTGATAATTGAAACATCTGCCTCCCATTCTGCTCGTGGAAACTCTAGGAACCACAAGTAAGCCTGCAGTCTGAGAACCAAGTGCTCAGTTAGGAAAATATGGAACAATGAGATCAGTAATAATAATAATAATCAGTAATGTACCAGTGTTAGGTGTCACTAAGCGTATAATAATTTGAAATTAGGATTTTAGACTATCATAAAATAATTATTTTCCATAATTCTGACAAGTTGTGAAATGTTTCTCTTTCTGTCACGCCTCGTTGTACAGTCGGTTGCTGCAGTACCGCCATCGGCCGCTGGGGGGTGTAGATTTTCTCCAATGTAAACAGTGACGGCAACGTTTTGCAGTGGTGGACAAGAACGTGTACGTCATTTTTACAATGGCGGAGGCTGGATGAGGAGCAGAGAGAGTGTGTAAAGCGGCGTCGTGTTCGGCAGAGCTATATATATCTCTTAGTGCGTGCACGGTGCCCCCAAAATGGCCCAGAACCCAAACGCGGTGGGAAAGACGGACTCGGAGTGCGCCGAAACGAGCGGCCCGCAGGCAGAAGGAGGCGAAGCCCACAAGAAGTCAGCGGCAACAGCAAACCAAAATGGCGATCAGCCTGGATGTAGAGACGGTGTAATGCCCGAACAAGAAGCCCCTGGACGGCGGAGGAGCACGCTGGCGGACGCCCGGAGCTGTAGCAGCTCTCTCTCGCCAGCCCAGAGATCGAGCGAAGAGCTGCCACGGAAGAATTTCCAAATCCCGAGGAAGACGAGAGAACGGAAAGGTGGTGCCATATCGCTGCTATTTTGAACACACAGCGCTTTCATAATTCTGCTGCTGCGTGCTGCTAGCCTGCTAGCTAGCTGGACCGTTGGGCAGTTTTATTGACATTTTAAACAAAACACGGGCGTTCCGAATGGCAAATTGAATTCGAGCCATGCTGTTTGGGCACACGGATGAGCCTGATAGCTGTTGTGCTGGTTGTATAGACACAAGGCTAGCCTTAGTGCGTAGGCTCGTGTTTCCAAGTTAGCATCGGGGCAGCAGCGCCCGAAAGCAGCACTTCTACGGACCGTCCACCTGAGCGCCTGCTCGGGTTCTGCATCTTTCCCTAGTCACCGACTGATTGAAGGCTGTTGCAGGACGTTTTGCAGCCAGCCCCTGCCAACATGTGTTTGACCTCAGTGAAGGGCATGGTTTAATCTACCACACTCGTCCATCCGAACTGGGTTTACAGGCGGGCCGCCCCCCCGTCCCAGTTTGAGTGGTATTTCAGAGCATCCCACTTTACTGTGCACTTAACCTCAGCATCCCTGTGGTTACTCTGCTGCTTCCAATGACACTATCAGTAAGAAATGTGGAAGCCCTTAGCAAAGTGTCACACGGGCATCCTTTAATGTCTTCGTATGCAAAGTTACGATTTGAATTTACATTTTATGTCCAAAGCTGCTACACAAATGGATTGACCCTTAAATTTAGCAATATCTGATCAATGAGTCGGTTAGCTGTGAGCGTTTTCTGATGGCCAAGCGTCATCCTTTTGCCGCACAACACAGATGTGTGCAAGATTTAACACCTCAGCTGGATGCTAATGAAGCTTTATAACTAATAAAGGGGTAGTTTGTTTTGCATATGTATGGATTCATAAGATGTGTAACTAAAATCGAGACTGGAGGTGTCACTCGTGCTTCAGGTTGTAGATGCAAATGATTTGTAGTGACTTGCTTGTGTTAAAAATAACTTTACAGAGAAATGTTTTGGTTACGTGTGCACGGATGAATCGGCCCTGATTTCCTTAATTTTGGGAAATCGATACGTGCAGGGGAAACCGATTTTACATATTTTAGTTTTAACAACAATTGTCTGAACTTCATTTATATTTCAGAGCACTACCTCATGTCCAGTTAAAGCAAGTTTGTATTGTTTCTAGAATATTGTTCTTGAGTATGTTGTTCAATAAAATAAGACTGGAAAATTGAAGGTGCATTGTGACCTTATAACACCTGACGGTGTCGCTTATAGAACAAAACTGGTATCGGCCAAAATCGGAATCGGCAGGTCAGACTTTTTAGAAGTCGGTCATCGGCTAGAATACTGCAATCGGTGCACCCCTGGTTACTTGTAAAGTTTGCAGACACGTACACTGGTTCGTGGAGCTGTCTTATCCTGCCTCGTTTTTACACAATGCTGCCCAGCAGATTATTTTAAAAGTCTGATTTAATTGTTTGCAGTAGCAGCCTTCTGTCCAAAATACTACTGATGATGCAAGCTAACTCACTGATTCACATTTACGTGTGTGTGTGCAGGCCTGTACCAGTTTTTGCCCCCTGACAGTCGGGAGTTTGAGGACCTTGTGAAGATTATCTCCTCGTTTTACCTGGACCCCTCTTCACGAGGAAGCTTTTCCTACTGCAAGGCCAGGCTAATTCACAACGAGCTGCTGGAAAAGGAGGTGGGTTTGATCATAAAAAAGGTTAAATCATGTCAGTTTGAAATAGCAGGGGGAGGGGGGACACACATTTAAAATGTTAACAGATTCACAGCTGCGATATTTATATGACCTTCAAGGGGGTTTTGCAGCAACTTGTTTCTAAAGCTAGACGTTTTGAGGTTCATTTCGCTGTGTCTCATTTACCATCAACTTCCAGTTTATTGAGAAGAGGAGAGAAATGAAGCAGGAGGGGCGAAGCGAACAAGAACTCATCGAGTCCTACTGCTTCCTTTTCCCAGACAAGTCCAAGGTTAGCCCGATTTTAAAGCCTCATTCGTAAAAGAGATTTAAAAAAAGTGACAATTTTCTGTGTTTAATGTTCGTGTTTAAAAAAAACAAACATTTATTTTTATGTGTCCAGCTCCAGTGGATCTGCGAAAAGGGGCTGTCGGTTGCACACTGTAGGATTACAACCCTTGGGAATCCATCAGTGGGTAAGCAGCAGATCTTCTGACTTACTGATTTAGGGGGAAAAAATATGAAGTAGTTTTTTCCCAAGTGTTATAAAAGCTACTATAAGATTATCTAGGTGACTTTTAGTCTTTGTTTTACATGACATTTTGAACTTTACCTCATCATTCTCAAACCCAATAAAACCAGCAGCTATTAACTGGTTGGTAGATTGTATTAGTTACATTTGTTGTGATTGGCTGTTCTTTATGAGGTTTTCTTCTAATGTGGCTCTTGTTGTTGTAGGTCTTTACCTTTCCAGATACTCTGATTTATTACAAATGAATCCCTTTGAAGTGGGCTCGTTTGGAGACATGATCATCTTTAAAGTTATGAGGGTAAGGTTTCCACTCACATTGCATGAACTGGGGCTGCGGTGGCTCGGTGGTCAGTGCCACGGTCTCGCAATCCTGAGGCTGCAGGTTCGAGCTCAGGTTGAATCGGTAAAGGCGTCCAATGTAAAGCGATTCACAAATCTTTAATGCAGGTTCACTCGCTGTGGTGACCCTGCAGAAAGGAGCAATGGAAACATCGCATCGTGAACTGTTTTCTGATATTTTTGGAGATGCCTCAAGCCAATCAGTGTTTTCTGCTTTTCAGGGGCGAATAAAGCACATCCACGAGAACATGCCCAAGAACGCAATTGAACCTTCGCCCAAGTTTGACTGTCACTTGTCCAAAAGTGCCAATAGGGTCACATCTTTGCTGTCCTACAGAGCTTTTGAGCTCACGCAGGTAAACATAGTGTTTAAAAAAGTTAAATCTGGTCCTCTGGACATTCAAAAAACAAAACAAAGCAAAATGACAACAACAACAAAAAAAGAGGACCAGATTTAACTTTTTTAGATTTTTCTACCTGGACTATTGAGCATGCATCAGATTAAACATAGTGTTGTTTTCTTTTTAATTGTTTAACGTTATCAGTTTATTGAAGCATCATCTTTATGTTTTGCAGCAATATTTTTTTGAGTTTGCATTTGACGAGATCAAGCCACGACCCCGGCACGTGTGCCCCTACGCTGTGGTTTCCTTTCAGTACAAAGGCAAAGAGGCAGCGGCAACTCCTATGACTTCACACAGGTATATTATCCTGCATGAAACTGGGACATTCAATCAACTTTTATATCATCTGTAATGTCTGATCCTGTTTTCTCCTCTGGACAGGTTCAACGCCATTTCTGCTGAAGCAAATAAGGGTAATTTACTTTTTATATTCTGTTTTTCCTGCTATAATGATTGAACTAGGCTCGCTGTTAGTAGTACCACTTTTTAAACTGCTCTTGAACACTTCTAGTTCGTAAAAGAAGAGTCTTATGTTATTGCTGCACCCTAGGATTTACTAAATTAATTCAGTAATGTAAAAGAACAATTGTTTATTGTCTTAGCTTATAACCCACAGACATCAAATCATTTTATTATATTATAAACTCTGTTTTCTGTTTGTTTTAAATCTGATCATTTGATGCCGTTACAGGAAAAAGCTGCTACACTGTGTGGAGCGGGCCACTGGTTAACAAGGGCCAGGAATTATTCCCAGTCTGTTTACGGTCCTTCTCACGTCCCTATCTTCCTTTCAAACTGTGAGTAAAGCCTTCAGTCCTTGTTAATCATTAAAGCCCTTTTTAGCCACAAAAGGTTTTTTTTATAGATTGAACTTTACCACTGCAAATGTCTTGTACAAGACAATGTTGCTGTAGCTTTCTATGGAGCCACCATGTGGAATTTGTTGTAAAAAGTCTGATTGATCTGCAGGCCTGAGAAGTTGGAGATGAATCGAGGCATGCAGCTGGATCAGGTGAAGAGGAAGATTCCCCCGTTTCTTTTTTCCTGGGACACCTACAGCATGTCACGGGAAGGTGGGTTTGGTCCTCAAGTCTGTGTTTCTGTTAACGAAACAAAGTTACAGTTGTCTCAAACTGTTTAATAAAATGGGTTGTTTAGTGTAGAAAACACAAATGACCACATTGATGAGTTCTCATTTCCAACATGCTTTTATTTGTCTGCAGTGTACAAGTGTGGGATGTCGTGCAGCCTCTTCGAGGTGCTGGAGGGAAAAGGCAAAGCCACAAATGGCAGCTTAGCGGCGCTGATCCATAAACTGGAGAGGGACCGGATGGTAAGCCTAATTGCTCAGGTTCTCCTGTCAGAAATTCTTGAAACTTGATCAGTAAAATAAACCAAATAATGTTTTATGTTCAGTTTTACTACTAGTAAACAAGTTTGGTATTTCCATTGGATTTTCTTTTCCTATTAACAATTAAATTGTCTCAATAACAGAAACAAATGTGCTGAAAATGAGTGATCTAAACCAGGGGTCTGCAACCTGCGGCTTTGGAGCCACATGCAGCTCTTTCAAGCTTTGACCAAAACTAACATAAACTGAATTTTATTGGTTGTTATACAAACAAAAACAACAACAAAAAATTGTTTTATTTTCCTGTCATTTTACAAATATGTGACTACTGGAAACATTGCAAGGAGTAAAACATACTTTAACTTTATGCTTTATTTCTATACTTAATTTTTCCACAATTAAAAAAATCGCATTGTTCTTTTTTTTTTATTTATTAAAAATATCCCCGCCACCCACACACACACAAGAATCTGATCGTTTCATTTGTCTTAAATTGTAAAAATATCAATAAATATTAAAAATATCATCTAGTATTTTATTTCATCAATTGAAATTACTGAAGTTTCATGATTTGGTTAACTATAATATTCTTTTAGTACTGTATAAAGCTCAGAACTACACACTACCTTCAAATATTCAAACGTATTTTGTAAAAAGGAAAAGTTGCTATAATCTTAAGGGAACAGACATTTTTGTTAAACCGCAGTACAGAACCAGTTTAAAGGGGCGGTCTACTTCAATTCAGGGAATAGGTCTGTGGAATAGTTTGGAAAACGATGTAAAAAAAGTAAGGTCATTGCCTATATTTAAGAAAATGATTAAGATTAAAATTTTGGAAAGATACATATAAATACGTAAAATTGTGATGAGTTAATTATTTTGTTATATTACTTATAGATGATTATTGTTTGAATTGATTTTGTTTTAAACAAGGGGCAGATATGATAAGATTTTTTCTTCTTCTGCTACCTTTCATTTTATGACGTGTTTTTTTTTTTCTCATTTGGTTTCTAAATTGTTTTTGTGTTTTAAATATGAAATTAATAAAAATGACAAACAAACAAACAAACAAAAAATCATTACTTTTAGCTTTTAATGTCACCCCTACTTGTCACAAGTCTCCTCCAACAAACCTAAAGCGGCCCATGGGCCACCAGTTGATAATCACAGTTGTAGCAGGTTGTTGTGGCTCTGAATGTTTTTAATTTAGTGAACAAAGGAGTAAAAATAGCTCTTTTGATTGTAAAGGTTGCAGACCCCTGATCTAAACTATTGTGCTGTTTTTATATTATCAGTAACTAAATGCTCAATAAATATGAACGTATAATGAAGTTCTGGTCTTTAACAAATCAGTCGAAAAATATGCCGCAGTGTTTCTGACTGATATTTCTGCTCTTGTTTAGGTGCTGGTCAAGTCTCTGTATGACAAGGGCTTTCTTTTCCTCTTGTCCTCAGCTCAGATGGTTGAGTCAAAAGGTGCCAGAGTTTTTTTTTTTTTTGTTTTGTCTTTTATAAATCTTTTGTATTAGTTGAACCGCCTACTTGTTTCCTCTGCCGAGGGTTCAGTTTTTAAAAAGGTTGCTGTTTGTTTTTTAGAGCGGCGTGGGCGGGTTGAAAAGAAGCTGCAAGCATTATTCATCTTTCAGGAGTCGAGGATGGTTGTCAAGTATTGTAAGTAATGCTTGCTGTCTCCTCATCATCAGGCTACTGATGAAGGTGGAGTCTCAGCGCCTGCTTTATTCATGAAACAAATGTTTTAGTAGAATTTATTTCTAATATCTCCCATCTCTGATTGTGCCTCCTATTTACAAATAAAAGTTTAGATGCTTGTTTTATGGGATTGGATGAAGTTACAGACACTAATGACACCTTTTCTTCATCTTAGCTTCGAGACTGTTCGAGTCGGAGCCGCTGACGGCAGAACCTCAGCCTGCTGCCCTGTCCTCCATAGAGCCTTTTCTCCCTGCACTACACTTTGCCTTGTTCAAGTTGCGTCCAAACCCAGGCAAAGACCTGAGCTTCGGGGTGGAGCGCCAGGCCACCGAGTACCTAACTCGTATGGATTCAGGCACGATGCGGCCTTTCATTCTACCGGACTATAAATCCATCGTGGATGAAAGGACAAACCCTCTCTCAGTGCCCAGACCCAAATTTAACACGGAGGCTGTACTGCGATCATACATCCACAACTCTTCTAACTACATTTTACCTATGAACAAGGCAAAGGACATAATGGAACGGATACGGACCCCCATTCCTGTACCTCTGCCAGCACCGGTGCTGACCCCTCTTTCAGCCCCAGTGGAATACAGCCCTGTTTCTGACTGGGGTGGCTCAGACAGGTCAGAGAGACCCCAAGAACGGCTGTCCTTGGAGAGGATAACCCAAGAGAAACCACCCCCAGACATCAGCAAACGAAGGCCTAGTTTGGGCCATTCAAACGGTGCCCAGTTGCAACCCAAACCCAACACTGAACCCCAGCCCTCGTCCCTAAAGCCTCGGCTGCCCCAGAGCGAGTACGATCAGGACAAGATGAAACAGCTGCTTAAGCTGATCCAACTACATAAGAAGACGCTCGTGAAGGATCCTGAGAAGGATCAGGGGGACGACGGGGCCTGGGATATCAACAGCCTGAAAAGGAAATTTGAAGGCGATGAAAGAGGAAGCGCGAGTAAACACCAACGCACGGATCATTTGAGCAACGGTGAACCCAGTAGAGGTGAGAGGAGCAGCATCTTGTTTAAATTTATGAACATTTATTTACTCTGATTTTCTGCCTTTTGAAGTCACGTTTCTGTATCAGTGTAGATCTTATTTGCATCTCAACAGAATTGGATTATTTCTCAGTAATGAACGTAACATAACATGTATTTTTAAACAGTTTAATATTAAGATGCATGCGTTCGTTGCTGAGAAGATTAGCTGTTGATCTGTGTGTGTTCTGCCAGCAGTCCAAGCAGACAACATTGGAGCCGAGGCCGGGCAGAGTGACAGTCTGACCGCAGTGATAGAGAGCATGGGCATCTATGACACGGACCTGAGGGCCCGTGACACCTCAGCAGTCAATGAGACACAGCGCCTGCTCAAAATCCTCCTGGCCACACTCAACAGGGCCGTAACTCAGGGCTTGGCGCCTGGACAGGCAAACTACGGTGAATCCTCGGCAACTTCGGGAGTGTTAGAATCTGTTCTGGCTGAAGCAGCGCTCGAGAGACACACTGAGACAGCACCTCAGACAAACTACACCGAGGTAACGTGGAAACGATCAACATAAAGTGTTTGTTTTTTTTAGCTTTTAGAATATTAAAAAATCTCTTCTCTTTAGGAGGATATGGACTGTAGCCCTGGTAGTCCAGTCAGCATGAGCTCCCCACCTACACAACAAACATACCTCCCAGACATCCCATTGGAGAATACCCCTGCCAATGAAGGTACCTCAAAGCAATTAAGTGGCACAAGCTTCTGTCTCGTAGACATATTTAAATGGGGTTAACAAGGCATCACTGTGACAGGTTTCCTGTCTGCTTTCTTCCAGACAAAGAGCAGCCTCTTGCCGAGTTGAAGCCTGAGCCAGAGGCCCTGCCAGCTGCAGAAAGTGACCCAAAGCCAAAGACGCCTGCAGCTTTGTATGTAAAAAAGACCGTCACTCCCACTTTAACGGTTCCAGAGGAGGTTCCCTTTCGTCCCTCCATCAGCCTGGACACCATCTTGAACCAGGAAATTCACAGCCTCACCTCTGACATAAAAAATCTCATGTATGCTCAGCATATTAGCTATACGTCACGGCTGCCCCCGCGGCTGCCTCTGCGCCACTGCTGGCAGCTCAACAGGCGATTCTCAAACTACGTCGTGCCCTACGTCACCCCCGTCTCCGTTCAGGGGCATGTCCAAGAGCTGTGTGCAGAGATGGACAAGTTGATCCCAGCTCCACCTGCTCCCTCCAAGGATGCCTCTCCACCTCCCCCAGAGGCAGAATCTAACCTTACAACCCCGCCCCCGGCAACAATTCAGACTTCCAAAACTGATGCAGACCCGTCGGTGTCGACGGCCTCCTCTCAGAGTGTCAAAACTGGCAGCGACAACAAAGAGACTACGCCCACTGAGGCTAAAACGGAAGCGATGGAACTGGGAGGAGACATGTATTCTCCGTCCCACACCACAGCTGACTCTCCGAACTCCCAAAACACCAGCACCGCTCCTGGCGGCGGGCCAAATCTGCTCGCCGGCAGCCTCATCAGTCAGTTGAAACCTGAGGTTTTCACCAGCCTGGTGGAGATTTTTAAGGATGTCACCAAGAATACGGTTAAATTCTACATCTACTCTGGGGACGAGGGGGAGGAGAGCACGGTCTGCAAGGAGATTAAGGTAAAATACAAAACGTGCATGTCATTTGAGATGAATTATTTTGAAGACTTCAAATAAAAAAGTGATGTTTTCTCACTAAGTGAACTGCACATGAGCACTACAGTGTTCCTGCCTCAGTGTTTCGCTTTCTTTCTGTATTTGTCATTCATTCATGCCTTAATCATACATTCTTCTGCCGGTTTCTAACAATCAACACTTTCTCCTTTCTGTCCAAAAGGAGTACTTAAAAAGTCTTGGCAACAGTGAGTGCAGCCCACAGACCTTTCTGGAGAACAGCGGCAGTTTGGATAAGCTTCTCATCATCATAAGGAACGAGGACATAGCTGCACATGTGCACAAGGTGCAGTAACTTCCTGTCACCCTGTTCGTCTCTCGACACCAATCTGTAGGTCAGGTTGTCATTTGACACAAAACAAATAGTAAAATAGAAGAAAATGAAAAAATACAGCTAATACCTGTAAAAAATGCAATAGTCTATTACATGTATAACACTGCCAGTCATCTTAGGTTCAGTGCAGGTTCACGTTTCAAAATGCTTGGCAGTTTTGTTGTTGAAGCATCTTTAGTAAACTTTCTTTTTTCGTCTGTGGCCAAGTGTAACTCTATCGAGACTCATTCATGTTGAGATCAGGTTTCTTCACAGGCCATCTGCAACAAACAGTGTGGCTTCTCCTGCTACCTAAAATAGCTTTTCATAACGTTCTGATCACTAGTATTCATCAGAATATATTTTAAATCAGATGGTTTCCAGATGGTTCAAACTAAAATGATTTCATATTACCGAACAATAAATGGGGTGGTGTTTATCTTCATATTTCAACCAGTCATACAAATCTGAAGATTAATTTGTTTAAAATAAATGTGGTCTTGCCACGCTGCAGATTCCAGCCCTGGTGTCTCTGAAGAAGCTGCCGTCGGTGAGCTTTGCAGGAGTGGACTCTTTGGACGATGTTAAGAACCACACGTACAATGAGCTGTTTGTGTCGGGGGGCTTCATGGTGTCTGATGAGTTCGTCCTCAATCCTGATTGCATCACACAGGGTAGGTCTTACACTCTGTAGCAGCATTTCTGAGTATTAAATAACGTGGACAAGTGTGAAGTCTGATCAGTGTCTGCACTGTTCAGCAACATTTGATGTAAATATTGAAAACATATAAAGGCTGTCAGATTACAGTGTTGTATAAATATTTGGTCAGTGATGACCGTGGAAGATATGAAGTCTGCTGGTATTTATTTTTTATCTGATTAAAAATTGTTTTACTTCAGTTGAATTATGCACTAGCTGACTGTTTCCAAAGTATTTCATTACTTTGGAACTCACCACTTCTGTCCACGTCTTTTTTTATTAACATGGACGCCATCGCCCAGTAAGAATTTCTTACCTAGTCCCATAATTTGAATTTGTTCAGGGATGTAAAATAATTTTATAGACCCAGTGATGTGGATATTTATCTACCTTATAACGTAGTTGAGCTGGAGCAGAGTTATGGGAGGCATTACAAGATGATTGGTGACATATGTGGCTAATTCTTTTATTTTTAGTGTAAACGGTTTTCTGTGATTCTGTTTCAGAATGACAGAATTAGGGACAAATGAACAGCTGCAGGTTTAATAAAGGCATAAATGAAAGACGTAGAGCTCGCTGCAGCTGGATGGAGTTCAGAGATGAAAGCTGAAGTGCATATATTTCACTTGTCACACAAGGACATGCTACATGTAGCCTTTGTTTTCAAACTGTTAACGACATCAGTTAAACGCCTGTTTACACTCGGTGCCGAGTTTAAAACATTTTATCAGCTTGCAGAAATAATTTCTATTCTTTTCACTCACTTCTCCTTTTGTTGGAGTAACTGATCATAAGTGCACATTTTTAAAGTTGACGTGTTTTAAAGTTAAAACGTTCTCTTGAACGGGTCTCGCATCTCTAACAACATATTTACTACGGCTGCTTGATTCGTCTAGATCGGTTGCAAGGCCTGCTCAGTTTCTTGGAGGAGCAAAGCACCCCTGAACACCCCTGGCAGTGGAAGGTGCACTGCAAGTCTCAGAAGAAGCTTAAAGAGCTGGGCAGGTCAGTATCGGTGGATCTCTGAAGATCACAACCACCATATCAACCTTAATAATCCTCAGGGACCCTGTTGATCTAAAGAATCTGTGCTGATCTTCATTCTCATTTTAAGGTTGAATGCTAATGCCATGGGACTCTTGAACCTTCTAACGATCTATCAGAAGAAACATCTGGTGGAGTTCCTCCCATATCATGAGTGTGACACCCCGTCACGTCAGGCTCCAGATCTGGAATGCCTGATCAAGCTTCAAGCTCAGCACACGCAACAACGACACCTCATCTTCCTCACAGGTGTCGCCTTTCTACCCCAACACATGATGTCATTTATGTTGGCTGAAAGTTAATTATTACCACCGTGCTCACTGCTCTCTCTGCTCAGTAACATATGATTTTGTTTCTTGTTCCAACAGAGAGACCGTTTGAAATGTTCCTGCAGTACTCCAGGAATGGAATAGTGATCGCGAGCATTGATGATGTGATGAATGGTTTTCACAGTCTGATTGGCTCCATCAATCAGAATGAGCTCCCAACACCCCCATCTACTGGTGCGTATCAACAGAAACATTTACACAGAAAGGCCGTTTGATTCACGTTTGGAAATGATGCCTCTTCTGTTTTCTTGTCCCCTCAGTAGTGAACGATGAGTGTGTGGAGGAGGAGGACATGTCGTTAGACTCTGATGATGGTGAGCCACCGACCACAGCCGACTCTGTAGAAAAAACCGAGGCCACTGAGGAGAAGCCTCTGCTGCCGCCCCCAACACAGATGGAGTTGCGTCCTCCGCTCCCAGACCTGCAGTCCACCCCCGAGAGAACCCCGACGCTGGCCGAGTGCACCGCCCTGAAAACGGCCATCTCTCAGTTCAGAGCTATCAACCAGATAGGCTTAGCTTCCTCAGACCTCGGCAGCTTGTCACCAGGTGGGTTTCCTGTAAACACCCACCAGAGCTTCCTGTGCCCCTCCGCCCCGTGGTCCTCCTACACTGGCTCCTCTAGCTATGTGGCCTCACCAGCCTACCCCGCTTCGCCTTGCAGCAGCACCCAGGAGCAGGAGACCCGTCCCCTGACCACGATCTCTACTGCAGCTGCAACTCCACCTGTCATGGCTCCTACAGGACCTCTAGTCAACCTGGCTACCCTCCCATTGACGGTCAAACCTCCCCCTCCACCTCATCTCATCCAGGGTCAGACGTATGGTTCTGCTGCTGGAGGGGCCGGAGCCGCTGGAACCTCTCCGCTCGTCCCCATCCTCCCTTACAAAGACCACAGTGACACAGTCCAGCCAGGTTTCATGGGTGGCGTTGCTAAAAATGCTGGCGGGACCCCCACGCCTCAGGACAGGACACTCAGCAGATCTGGTGATGGTGTGTGGAGCATGACGGGGTCCGGCACCTGTGAGACTGCCAGCAGCCAGGGTGTGGTCACTTCTAGGCCCGTGGACCCCAGCAGTCTCCCTAAAACTGGGGAAGCTGTTGTGGGTAGCACAGCTGGTGGTCAGGGGTTCAGGACTCAAGTGAACTGCACTGAGAGTCTCGGAGCTTCGGTGGGCGTTCCCCCAGTGGCCGCCAGGGGGGGCTCTATACCCAGACCTAAGCTGCCGCCACCTCCAGTAGCTGGTATGGGCTATGGTACTGTGGGAAGCCTCCCGAGACATTTGAACCATGGACCTATGCGGGGCGCTTTGGCTCCTGGCTTTTTAGGAAACTACAGAGGCAGAGGAGGCCCACCCGCTGGATTTATGCCTCGACCAGGACGGGGACAGGAACTGGGGAACGGGGCTGGAGGTGGGCCCTGCTCCTGGGGTTACCCAGCAGGCAGGGGGGGGCCACAGAACTACTACACATATTCTCATAATTATACCCCTGAATAGACAATCAATGCGATCAAAGGGGCACTGCAGACAGCAGAGACACTTGGAGCTGGCTGAATGTAAATATTTCCTTGTCTTGAAGTCGTCGATTTAAAATCAGTAAATATGGAATATGGTTTTCTACATTAATAAAAGTTGATACAGGCAGAGCCGAGTGTCCTACTGTGGTGAAACTGTCTGTACACTCTTTCCATGTGAGCTGTTTGAAACCCTGTTCAAACCACTATATTTATATTTGCCAACAAATATTAATGGCCTTCCAGCTTCTCAGAATTGACCACGTTCTTTCTGTTTGTTCCTGTTTTGAAACGGTTTGTGAACAAGGGGAACGGCAGATATTTTTTTAAGGAAAACAACAACAAAAACCCCATGAAGTTTCACGTCTGCTTTTGGGTTTCTTCCTTTCTTTATTTTTTAAATTTTATCATTTTACATATTCGGTTGTCCAAAATTCTATAACAATAAAACATTTCAAATCTTGTTTGTGTGATGGGTTTGACGGTGTCAAGCAGTTTATTAAAAAACTCAACAAAAACAACACTGATGTGTCCAAGTCCTTTAAGTCAAAGGGAAAAGAGCAGCGCTGCGGCAGAAATCCACTAAATCCATATCCTGTGGTGGGAGCAGTGGACGGAGTGGTTTGTTGGAGATGCAGCACTTAAAGTTGTGTGGCTTCACGCTGAGTGCTTCTAGCTCTTCAGCCACCATTGATGGAGTAATTAGCAGGGCTGATGTCCTCTGTGAGGGTTCATGATGTTAACTCAGCGGAGCGTCTCGAGGAAGAACACCAGAGGACGCCATTTCCCATGAAAATATTTCAGAGCTGTCACAATGAACACAGAAAAACAAGTTTTTATTTTATTCTGCATCCATCCATTTACCCACTTCTTCATTTTTGGGTTGCGGGGGTCACTGGTGCCCATATCCAGCTATCACTACGAGAGGTGGGGGACTCGACAAATTTCCAGTCCATCGCAGGGACACATGGAGACAACACTCGCCTAGGGACAATTACCAATCAGTCTAACATGCATGTTTTTGATCTGTGGGAGGAAACTAGAGTACTCTGAGAAAACCCACACATGCGCAGAGAGAACATGCAAACTCCACCCAGAAAGGCCCCCAGAACGGGATTTGAACCAGGGCAATGTGCTCACTGAGGCAGCAGCTCTACCAACTGAACCACCGTGCTGCTTTTTTTTTTTTATATTAATGTACACCAGGAAAATAATTTTAAGCATTTTATATAACTAAAGTGGTGCATTACTGCAGTGGTTCTCAAACTGGACCCCCGGGGTTCCACGAGCCGGTGCTTGGGGGGTCCCCCCCAAAATAATTTTTTTTTTTTTTACAAGTACATAGATGTTTAACAACCTGTTAAAATACACCAAAATGCAGGAAATCACATTTACTTTATTCAAAATGTTCTGGGGGAGGACCCACAGAGCCCCCCCCCCCCCCCCCCCCCCCCCACCAAACACACACTATTTGCATTCCAGCATCAGTTTACAGGTTAGTCCCGTTACTTAGTCTGACTACTGCTGCTCTCATTCTGTTCAGTTTTATGTAATAATTCGAAGAAGTGACAATATACTGTATTTATCATGTTCATTATGTGAATAAGTAAAGTTTTAAAGTGTTTTTTGATTCTGTTACTTTTCTCAAAACTGTAATTTTTCAAAGTTGAAATTAAAAATGTTGTTAGTTAAGTGTGTCTTGAATAAAAATACCCCATGTTTAAAAGAATAAAAAATATATATTAACACTTTTAAAGAACATGTCTTGAGAATTTATCTTACACAGATGCGTTAAAGAGACAAACTGAAGAAAATTATTTAATAAACATGAGGGTTATGAGAGGGTCCCTGAAAGTTTTTCTCCCCTTTAATGAGTCCCTGAACCCAAAACATTTGAGAACCCTGTCTGGATCCTTACTGATCATGGAAAAGGCACAAATCACTGACTGATACATGAAATAGTAGAATTTTATTAAGTTAAAATAAAAATTTTAATCCACTGAAATGAAAAAATACTGGGATGCATACTCCAAGATGAACAATTCTCTCCCTGCGTTGTAAATGGAACGAGCGTTTTCTGCCACAGACGTGGATTTATGTTGACGTGTTTGCAGCGTTTAGTTCTCATTTGTCCCACATCAACCCCACTGGTGGAAACAATCTGTTATTTTATAAACAGGCTCAGAGGCTGCCTGCTAAACTGAGTTTTTAAAAGCTCTTATTAAGTTGGAGGGATCAGTGAGAGTGACGTTTGTGTTGGAGATGCTAATATTCTGTCGGGCCAACACTTCATTATGATTCTCTGAGAGTTTTCATTAACAGCAGGACTAAAGTGGCTCTAAGTACTTTTTGTCAGGTACTTGAGTACAAATATAAGGTACTTCTATTGAAGCCTTTTCTTCTTATTCCTCTGTTATCCACCTTTATATTAAACATAATGGACCTGAAGAGGCTTTTTATTTTGTGCGCATCGATCTTTCACAAAACCTTGATAGAAGACAAGGTTTTTTTCTTGTATTTAGGGTTTTTTAAGATTTAGCTCCATTAAGGAGGCATTTATTCAGTAAATCTTTAAAAACCTATCAGTTTAGAGCAATTGTTCCCAAAGATGAGGTCGGGACCCCGACGTGGGCTGTTACACCAAGTGGGGGGGTCTTGAAATATGTGGCTGTTTTTAGCTTAAAGTAACGTTTAGAGGTTTCTTATGATCAGGCCAATTTTTAGAAATCAGGGCAGCCAATAACCAATATATACACACGTTTTTATTTTTATGTTTTGGGCCAATATGCATTTTTACTAGAAATTTTCTGATCGATCAACCATCGATAATAAATGGCCGATTTCTGTTAAAAAGTATGTGATAGGCTGATACCGATCAATGCCTTTCAGTGCCAATCACAAAAAACAACCACCTTTGCAGCCTGCAGAGGTTTGGTGGTATATATATATATATATATTCAAGCATGTTTTGAGATGTATCTGACTTTCTGCATTATTTAGCCTGTTGAGAGTCTTAATGTTTTCAGTCTGTTAAAGATTCTGTTACTGTGAGCAGGTACATTAGATGTTTTTCAGTCGTCCTTTTGACTGAATAGTTGTTGTACTGTGCCTGCAAGATTTTTTAAATACATTTTGTCTTGAAAAAAAAGTAAATAAAAACATGTTTTTGTCCAAACTATGGTTATTTTATGGTTCCTATTTCCCAGAATATGTTGCAAGTAGCACTCATCTTAACTAAATAAAATAATTATATCCAGTCCATGTGACCGGTATCAGTGATCTGTATCGGTGATCGACAGAAAAATAACCTGATCAGAGCATTCCTAATTTTTAGCCAACAAAATATAACAATAATTGCTTAACATAAATAAAAGTATGTTTACCAACCATTAGTAGAACTTGTGCCTCCTAATAAAAAGAGCATTGATGATTAAAAAGCATAAATGTGGTCATTGGTGAAGCTGGATGTTACACCTGCTGCTGCATCGTCTTCAACGATGAACAGGCACTGATGACCAGTTTTACAGAAAACGGCACGTCAGCTCATTTGTTGGTCTGGGTTTTGGGTCTTGTTCTTGACAAAAGCACAAAAGTGTGGGAAGCACTCATTGTTTCAGCAAGAACCTGCTTAATGTTTTCAATTATGTATAACATAATGTTTGTAACTTTATAAAGTTAGGGTACAGGATTGTCTTAGGGATGTACAGGTCTAGTTGAGAGCAAATTTTCTGAACCTAAATAAGGAAAAAAAACTGAGATTCTGGTGTTCGGTCATTGCAGCCCCCTGCTTGGGCATGACTGTGGTTGGTCCTTTGTCCTCCTGTCGTCCGTTTGTGAAAAACCTGGGTGTGATGGTTGATCCTCTGTTTAAATTTGATTAGTGCCGTTATCAAAGCCAGTGTCTTCCAGCTGAGGACCCTTGCAAAGATAAAACCTTATCTTCCTCAGCCTGATCTTGAGAGGACTATCCACACATTTATTACATGGCGTTTAGATTATTGTAATTCTTTGTATTTGGGGTTGGACCAGAGCTCCCTGCGACCTGCACTCCCTTCACTGGCTCCCAGTTGCTTTTCGGGTGAAATTTGAAGTTTTATTGACGGACTATTTTCTCTGGCCTTCAACTTCACTTAAACCTCAAATTAGTACTTGAGTGATTCAAGTTTTTGGGAAATTGCAGCAACTGAAATAAAGTATGTCTTGGTTTTTATTTGTACTATTATTTTATTAGTATGTTACTGCAATTTAAAAAAAAAAATCATACTTTTAGTTTTATTAAACTCAATTTTATTTATTTTATCATGTTTTTTTATTATCTATGATGTTGCAATTATTGTGAGGTACTTTGTTCAGCTGTGGTCGTTGTAAATGTGCTATATAAATAAACTTTGACTTGACTTATAACGCCACACCACAGCCAGACTACATCAAATGTACATATGATAATAATAATAATAATCATTTTATTTAAAAAGCGCCTTTCAGGATACCCAAGGATACTTTACAGCAAGAAACATAGAAAGATTGTGTAAAAACAAACAAGCACAGTGCAAAGATCAACAGGAATAAATTGAAATATAAAATACATAAAGAATATAAAATGCATCTTAAGATGACAATGAAGAATCATCTTCTGCAGAAATAATATCCATGTGACCTTGTTTGGTTGATGGTTTGTATTTTTACTTATAATAAATGATAAACTCATGGGAGATCACTTATTTACAAATAAAAGTCTGGCTTGTACATCTTTGTCGGACCTCCTCCTCTGCCATGGCGGCTGGTGTGTCGTGAGGACAGATGAACGCTCGGAGTCATCACTCCAGTTAGAAAGGTGAAAGACCCACACCTCGGAAAAAACGAGTGTCCGTTTTATTGATTGTGTCCGGAAGGGCCTAATTATTCATCTTGTTTAAACGTCAGTGTTTCAGACGTCCCACGAGTGCTGTTACTTCTTGTTATGCTGCGCTTTTAGAAGGAAACCTTTCAACGTTGTTGGATTCCCTCACGCTCCTGAGTCAGGGGATTAAATTCAGGCTGACCACACGAAGTCCTGACAAGTTCACAGTGTTGTGCATGTTGTGCCGGTCTCTCTCACAAAACACATTTTAAATGCAGTTCTCTAGAAACTACAAGTATAGAAGCCCATTTTTGCCATTCTGAAGAAAGAAGAAGATCGTCTAAGTTACAATTATGGGATATTACAGTAGTCCCTCGCCAGTGTTGTATAAAGTACCTCAAAGTGATACTTCAGTGAAAGTACAAGTATCTTACCATAAAATTACTTTGGTAAAAGTTAAAGTCTCCCTTAAAATTATTACTTAAGTGAAAGTCTTAAAGTATTAGATATTTAATGTACTTAAGTATCAAAAGTAAATTTATCTTATAAAATGTACTTAAAGTAAGAGCATTAAGTAAAAGTAAATGATTAGAATTTCCAAAACAACATTTAATTGGTGCAGTATCCAATGAG